CTAACATATTTAGCTTCGGATTTCTTAGATTCAGTATTATGGTACGATTTTGTATTTAGAACGTAGCAAGGGATATTAGTCTCTACAAGACCCTCTCCAGATGGGACGTAGGAAGGTTTATCGTGTATGGACCATTCAAAGCAAAAGATTAGTTTATCTTTATCACTTTTGACCATAGTTTTTTTTAAATTATCGCTTTTTTATCTATGCGTATGCAATTTGTTCAATTCATTCCTAAACAAACCATGCATATTTAAAATACATCCTAAAGAAAGTGCAATCTGAATAGCAATGCAGCAATGCATTGGAAAAATTGGCGGAACGCTTGGGACATTCTTGGGAGATTTTCCAGTGGTGGGCATAGGAACATCCCATATAGTAGAACTAGAAAACTAGACATAAACTAGAAAAGACAACACTTATTTTAGGTGAGGCAGAGCAACTTCTCCAATCAGTAGTAAGATACAAACTATCACGCAAATCCCCCAAATGTAAAAACCAGTTGTGACCTTAGAGCTAAAATCCAGTCCTGTAACAGTGTCAACTTTTGGACCCGTCCAATTTGTACCGTGCCCCAGTAGGTTTGGCGGTCTCCATATGTTGTACATTAATTTCAGATGCGACAAGATACCCGAGGATATAAACGCTTTGAGACGGTTCTCAAAGTAGTTGTTTCTTATCGGAGTTACGGGCCATCCCCTAACGTCTGGCCTTCTTTTCGCAAAGAAGGAGTCTCCATCGCCTTGAATGAACGTCACTTTTTGTTGATGCTGGTTCAAGAAAGTTGTGATTGCCGCGATTTTTTCCTTTTTGTCCATCAACGCCACTTTCCCACATGTAATCAAGCTATTTAGCACCCCATAGCTATCCTGTTCATCATATTCCACTGGCTGAATAGGATAATCTATCAAAACGTTACTATTAAAAGTTACTACATTTAATCCAAGCCGAGATGAAAAGGTTCCTCTTCGTCCGGTGTTTAAACCCCCGTTTCTCCTAAAATGTGGGTTAAGTTTCTTAACTAAACTGTCAGCAACAGTATCGTTGCGAATATGTTTCAAAATATTAAGAAGTACACGGTAGAACGTTTTATATCGAGAAAGCGCATCCGGTTCTACGTCAAACGCATTTCCCAAAACGAAGTCAAACGGCATAAGGACCCGTACCCCTTCCACACCCATCAATTTTGTCCATGGTGATTTGTACGCTGTTGGGACGATCATTTCCATTGTGAATAAACTTTTGAACCAATTCGTCATAATTGTCCCAGGCAAAATAATCCAGATCGCGATTATCATATAAACACCTATCCTAGGATTCCTCAATCGCCTTAATCTAACTTCGTAAATAGAAAGTATAGAGTTCTCCAGAGATATTGCAGCAATGAAGTACACCGCATCGGAATGATATCTTCTAAGGACTGGAGTCAAAATTAAGACCACCATGATAGAACCTAGGCAGATGAATGTCCAGCTAATCTTATCAAACGGACTGTATAGGGAGCCAAGAATTGCAGAATTCGTCCTAATTCCGTAACATGATACGTAGGCGTACCGTAGCTCATCACGCATATATAAACCAATTCCACCACGTGCATAGTAGCGCATTCTAATCAGTTGTTCAAACTGACGATATGGCTTATGGCCTGCAAAACCATCAAGGAAAAGGTCTCTCAAAATCAGAACGGAGACGAACTGATGAAGCGTGATTGCATTGGCAAGTCGCTGATACGCAAGTCGGGAATATCTTAAGCTCTCTGGATTAGTTTGATCAACGAAGTCTTCAAAGTCTGTTATTTTCTTTGGATCCATTCGATACATGGACCAAAGGTATTTTCCCAGCGAAGACACATATTTACCAATTTGGATGAACATGTCAAAACAATCAGCTGGTGAGCAATCTATGTGGTACCAAGCCTCAGAGGGCTCCATGCCCATGGCAGGTTTCTTAATGTGGTGTATATTGAGGTATTCAAACCTTAATATTGAATTGTCTTGATTGGCAACGTTTACGTGGATAAGTTCAGTTAAACTTAGATCGTCGGCAAGATTGCGGGTCTTCAAGGGGTCAAGTTTAAAGCTTGACATCACGATGAAGTAATGCGATTGCCAAGTATTGTTAATGAAGTGGGGTTGCGTAACCAGGGTAAAACGTTTTCTATTTCTATTTCCCCTCGTGTACCAGCCCTTAGGTTCTGGTAGAATGGCAAATGTAGCCCAACATTGCGACGCAGGGTTGCGCCTTCGCACCATCGAAAATTTGTCCTGCAGCATCTTCCCGGTCACGGAACTTATCTTGGGATCGTAAACTAATGATATTATTGGGCCGTTAGTCGGCGACCCGGAAAAAATTACGCGGGTAAAGTTGTTGGGCGCGAAAACCATTGTTGTACAGTTCTCAAATGGAACTAAGTAGTCTGCAACCTTAACATTGATGATTGCCGAGTTAGCTGCATTGGAGAAGGAGGGTTTTGCCAGAAGTTGTGCAGTAATGGCAAGTATGGTATGGACTAGGTTACCTGGTACCATTATGTTAAGTTAAATTATGTTGATTTAAATTAAAAAGATGGTTGTAATTATTGTTTGTCTTTGATTTAGTTGGAATTAGAATTGATTAAGGAGTAGTCAATCTCCAATTATTTGTTTAGTATTCAATCTATCGACCTAGATCAAATTTTTATGAAAAAGAGGAGAAACTTTTCTACGAGTTGTAGGCTTGCTATCTAATTAATAACTTCCATATTTTCAGTAAAAACAAATCGAAATATATTTTTTGTAATCTTCGTTCAACTGTATTTTTATACGGTTAGCTGGCCAAAAACTATCGCATCATTGGCCAAATGACGTAGGCTGTAAGGTAAATTATATTCCACCAGAATTCCAGTAAATAGCACAATTTAGCAATTATAACTTAACTTTGTATCTAGTTACATAAACATAGCAGGTCTTATCGATTGTTTGTAGCCTTCAAAGTTCGGTAATTACTTTAATTGTAGAAAGCCCAAAACATAACCGAACATGCATAGAACGAAATCTACACCTCCCACACACTAACTTCACGCGTTCCGGGTGAAATTACATATGAAAACAAATAATGGCTTCTGGAGAATTGTAAACTATATTTTTTTTAGATATTCGACATCCTGTTAGAACGATGTCTCAATTATCTGAACGAACTAACAATTTAATTTGATGCTAGCGTTGTAACCGGTCATTTGCAAATATTCGTCATGTATGTAAATATTTTTTTACAAGTAACGGATAATATCGGCGCCCTATTGACAATTAAGCATGTCGTGTATTGCAAAATGTCATGGCAAATTGATAAATTTCCTTACTAGGGACATACTAAATACATCTGCCCACATTGATAGTTAGATCCGGTATATGTACACCGTACTGGTATTTATTTGGTAATAATTCTCTACCGGATTGGTTATATGGATTGTCCGGTGAAAAAAAGTGCTAAGGTTCCCCCTATTTTTTCAACCACTTGAAAATTAATTTTTGGTATATAAAAAAGCATCAAAAATGCCACATTTGATAAGCTTCTTATAACCGAAAACAGAATTTGATTATCTCTTTTCGTAAGAAAATTACAGCACAAAATGTAGAGGAGATAGAAAAATTAGTTTGCCACTATGCCAAAAAAAGTGTTTTTCTCGAATTGGAAAAGGGCTCGTGACCACTTTATTCTTGAAGGGATGCCCCGTACAAAATTAGTCATACACTAGACATGTCTAGGGATCGTGAAAATGCAAAATATAAAATTTAGTCTTTTCAACCTGTCCGCTAGGAGACCAATATACTGACGCGAAACGTGAAAAAATCTTTTGGAGACAACCCTAACATATCCGTGAGGGTTGCACCCAGACAACCAAAGATTTCAAAAACCTATCTTCGCAGGATCAAAGCCAATAAGATGGGCTTTAAAACTTACAACACTAAAACCGCACCAAAATACGCAAAAGATAAAAATGGCAGAACTAAAACAAATTGTCAGAAACTTGTCGAGAAAATGTCGAGATCGACTCCCAAAAGTTTGTCGTCGTGGATGAAAACTACCGCCCCGTGGACCTCGAAGCATCAATCGGGTAAAGTTCTACTCATGTTGAAGTAAAAATGACGTTCGTCCGAAATATACATAAATTCAAAACCAAGCAAAGTTGCCAATGAAATGCACAAAATGGCCGGAGATCGACAAAAATTGGAACGTCGCAAATCCATTCGCTTCCACCGAGAATACGATCTCCGAAGTTTCTTTGAAATGGTGTATCATCAAAAGATTGACCCCTCTATCAAAAACAAACGTGTTTTATTTTGGTCTAACATTGGTATGTACTAGAATGCCAAAATATTGACAGGGTGCCATAGAAGGAAAAAAACTGATTTCATCAAGAAAAAAGACATCGGTCCAAACGTACCTCAATGTTGGCCCATTGAAAGAGTTTGGGCACTAATTGCGTAACAATATACTTAGAAAAAAGCACACCAACAAATTTCAAAAAATTTCGTCAGGTTACGGAGAAAGTCAGCATAGAAGTTGGTGAAACGAGTGGCAAATCGCTCATGAGAGGTTATCGACAAAGTCGTCCCTCCACCGGTACGTAAGGGGTATTTGGGCAGCTGAAGGATTACAAAACTTTGGTATGCTCAACGTTAGTATTCCACAAAAGTTTCGCTATATTTGATTCATGCATTCATCATTTGCAGTCAAAAATTGCTTGACACTTAACTTCACCGAACAGTCCATAGTTGGACTATGAGTGGTAACGATTTCATTACCACCACCACCATTATCATTACTATGCCGCAACGATCGATATTACCGATGCCGGTAGAGTCATATATGTACTCCGTCCGGTAATGATTCGTAATAATTCAATACCACTTGCCTAAGAGTGTAAATATGCGTGGAGTTCATGCTGTCGCAAAAATGCACATGAATGCGAGTTATTAACAACTTCAATTTGTTATTAAGTAGGCCTCGTAATGTTTGAATTAAGTTTCGCTTATTATTAAGTATTTATTACGCTAAGGGTGTCAATCAATGTACAATTTTGATTTTTTTTAATTACTCCTAGTGATTAATTGCTACTCATGCGGCTAGAACAGATAAAAATCTGGAAGGTTTATCCGGCTCCTGCTTTTATTTGTTAAATAAATTTTCAGCAAAGCTATAATTCATTACGCACGTCACGGACACATCAAAGTGTTAAAATATATTTTTATGATATATTTTCAACTATATATTTAAATTCGTGTGCACGTCAGTACCACATCGACGGATAAGATGTCTAGAACAACTAAGCAAAACAATAACCAATGCCAAGATTATGATATACCAGGGTTAATTAATTATCCAATTAAATAGCATGTTTAAAGTAATTATTAATTACTAATTGACGTTAACTGGTACTAATTTTGATTAATAATTAATTAGAAAATCACTAAAGATTACCAATAAATTGGTCAATATTTTAATTAATTAGCTAATTAATTGGTTTAAATAGCAGTTTAATTACTAATTACCAATTAATTAGACAAAATATTTTCTTTGTAATTATCAATTACTAATTAATTAGGAATGTGGTTAACTAAAAAGCTCTGTGACATTTATACACTTTTGTGGCATTTGTATCAATCAAATCGTGTCAACATTTGTAACAACATTCCCAAATATGCAACAATGCTTGCCCAATCTCTAATTTGAAGCTTGTGTCTTTCATCCGCGCGATTTTTTGTTTTCGCCTCTTCATACTTATTTCTTCTAACATTGACCACCGTGTAAAGAACATGTTTATTTTGTGAAAGTGATTGTTGCACATTGAGTGCAACACAATCAAGGAGAAGGTTTCCTTATGTGCAATCTTAATCAGATACATTTGTCACATTCTAGTTTTATATCGTGATCGCCTCTGGGCAGTGAGGCAATTATTGCAAGTCATCTCATTGTTATCTCTCTCACTCTCTCTTTCAATATGTAGGTTAGAAATAGGTATAGCAACCATATATAAACACGGCAGTCACGGCAGTACACGACAGCAATTGGAGAACAAGTCTTGGGGAGCCTGAGAGATGGGCTCAAGACGAGTCTTGTTGCTGCTGCTGCTGCTGCCCTTACCTCGCACAACCCTGCCAATCTGAATTGAATAAAACCTGTCCTGACTTTGTCTCACCAAATCTCACCTTGCCTCCAAGACGCAATTTATTTCCATGTACAACAACGACGACGATCGTCTCATCTGCCTCACCACCACCATCAATGCAGTGAACCCCCCCCCCCCCCATAAACGGAACTTCACATTGGTACCCACGGCGGCCTCTCCTTGTCAGAAGGAGAGAAGGACGCCTCACTCAACTCGCCCCATCTTCACGACTGCAGTGTGACGAAGTGTCACAACGACAAAAACGCCCCATTCCCTCTCTTCCCCCCATCTTCACGACGCCTGTGTGATAGACTATCACCAAGGTAAGTAAAAAAAAAAAAATAATTTTTCTAATTATCGGTTCACGCTCCGAGGGGGCGCCGATATATTTTGAAAATCATTTACCCTGTGAAAGTAAGTCGTACGCACCCCGTTGTTCTCTCCAGCCGTTAGGGCATCCTCCGTTTCATTTAGCGTGTTGGTAGTTATAGCTCTTTTTTTCATACCTGACTCACATCACATTGTCCCGCCGTGGGTACCAATGTGAAGTTCCGTTTATGGGGGGGGGGGGGGTTCACTGCATTGATGGTGGTGGTGAGGCAGATGAGACGATCGTCGTCGTTGTTGTACATGGAAATAAATTGCGTCTTGGAGGCAAGGTGAGATTTGGTGAGACAAAGTCAGGACAGGTTTTATTCAATTCAGATTGGCAGGGTTGTGCGAGGTAAGGGCAGCAGCAGCAGCAGCAACAAGACTCGTCTTGAGCCCATCTCTCAGGCTCCCCAAGACTTGTTCTCCAATTGCTGTCGTGTACTGCCGTGACTGCCGTGTTTATATATGGTTGCTATACCTATTTCTAACCTACATATTGAAAGAGAGAGTGAGAGAGATAACAATGAGATGACTTGCAATAATTGCCTCACTGCCCAGAGGCGATCACGATATAAAACTAGAATGTGACAAATGTATCTGATTAAGATTGCACATAAGGAAACCTTCTCCTTGATTGTGTTGCACTCAATGTGCAACAATCACTTTCACAAAATAAACCTGTTCTTTACAACCGTTATGGCTAAAGTTAGCAAATTTGCGACCTCCGAAAATGGCACACTCTGTCTTTCAGGATCTTTTAGTACGACTGCTTTAGTCAGGACACCAATAGCAAATTGCGTGACCTTGGTGTAGCTCCGAATCCCAGCGAAACATTGGGCAAGTTCGTCGCCGGAGAATATTCCAGATTTATGGGTTCTGGCCAAATCTTTAAATTTATTCCACGCCTGATCAAAGTTGGAGTTAAATTCACCAGTTTTTGACAAACAGAGGAACCAAGACTCGAAAAATTGGTATTCTGCTGTGACTTCATCGATATGAAGACTGGATGCAATTCGAAGTTTTGGATTTCCCGGGCCCACCAAGGCATGCTCGGTTACCTAAAAATGTAAAAAAGAATTACAGGTAGGGTAAGGAAAACCCATACCCTGTGGTTTTACCTGGGTTTCGCGGGTAGTCAGGTAAACTGAGTCAGAGCCTTATGTGTTAAGTTGTGAAAGAATATGGTTTCTCTGTATGCAAGTTAGGTACAAAACTGCTTGCTAATTCAATTTGAAATTCACTTTCTTAATTTCACACTTTCTTAAATTTGAAAACCCGGACTACGCGACTACCCGTGGGTATTGCTCTGATTTAATACCCCTAAGCCCACCAAAACCCGCAAAACCCCAATACTCCAAAAACCCGGGGTAGCAAACCCTAATTACGGGGGAACTAGTAAATTTCGTTTTAACAAGACGATACTCACCCTAAGTACGTACGAATCGAGTTGATATTTTCCTTTAAAAGTCTCATCATAATTAATTTTGACTCCAGTTTTAGTCCACGTTTCCTCTGCCATGAAGTTGTCCTGTTCCAACAAGACGACTTCGATTCCTTGATTTATTTTGCGACGAAGAACTTTTTCCATTTTTCTTCCTGCGAAAAATTACTCAAGCAATAACACGCTTCGAAAAATATGGGAAAGGGAATATTTCTGTGGATGGGCGTACATATGTTCTTGGCAAACTTATCGGCGATGAATAACACTGAGGATAAAAAATGTATGAAGTCTGAAAACAGTTACAAATGCGTATTTGTGATGCCACGTAAGGTACGAATGTTTAGATATCATATCAATCATTATTCAGCTTTTATCTATAGAAGGACGCCGATTTACCTGCCCTTTCTATATACTGATATATACATATAATGATGTGGTGAAGGTGCTCTTACTTATTTAAGTGTAATAATCTCAAACAGATAAGCATGATCATTAAACGAACAAACGAGACCATTTGAACATACAGTTGCAGTCATCGGTCGCATACATTATCATTGTATTATTTCATATTTCATCCAATTTCATCTTATCTAGATAATTTACAATTTAAAATTGGGGTGGAAAATTCAAAAACTGCCACATGATTGCGGCAATTAAATATTTTAACAGGAGGGAGTTAAATGACAAAAAATCCTAAAATCTATAAATCAATTGTTCACAGAAGATCTAGGAGAGAATTGTTTCTTAAGTATGTAAAGACGAGACTGCTTGATAAGCGTTTTACTATGTGTACATATTACATGAAAAATTGTGACAATTTTGGTACTTTGTCAACCAAAGCGTGTCACCATTTGCAACAGCATTTCCAATTAAGCTGTATATGTATGTGTATTTATGTACGTAACGTGTGTCAAATTTCTACACTCTAAGAAACTCGGTAACTAATCCTAAGTTATTACCAGGCGGAATATCTACATATGGATGTGACTCTACCGCATGGTAATTTATTTATTATTGAGTGGTAGAAAATTAGTTACTAACTGGTAATATTTTCAAATTTCGCAAACGACGTTATTACCGGTTTGGTAACAAAATGTCCACCACTCAATAGTAAATTAATTGCCATGCTGTAGAGTCACATTTGCATCTAGATACACCGCCTGGTAATAACTTAGTTACCGGGTTTCTCAGAGTGTAGTAATAATTAATGGAATTTGTATACTGAAATAAGATCAAGTCTGATGAGAAACTTGTAATCAATTGGACTTTGGAAACTTTATAGTAAAGTATACTAAACTTTGTAAACTTTGTATAGTAAACTTTGGAAATTTTATGATTGGCTTTTCAGTTAGAAAAGACGTTTACTCTTCGACAAGTAAAATTTTTATTAACTGCATATTACGTAAATCACCCTACCCCATCACAAAGTAATTGGGAAAAGTAACTCTAGATAAAGAAAGTGACGCAAAGTACCCCAACATTGTGCACGTTTAACTTCATATGAAGGAGCGATGTCATACATAGCGTACATGCCAGATCGCAATACCCTACATGAAACAAGGCTACCCCATATAGTCAGAACTCGGCATGGTCTATCACCCACATTGAGTTAAACGCCAGCATTTTTTACTTTCAGTCAGTTTCCTTCCCAATTCATCCAAGATTTCAGTGTTGTATATAAATCTTAGTAAAATTAATTAAACGCTAACAATTATTAATTAAAAATGGACTCGGCGGAGGTCAAGCGTCTTTTAACGCAACTGGATTTGAATGAGTATATTAAAACATTTGAAGGTATTCATTTATTTTTTAAAATGTATAAATTATCAAATATCTAATAAAACGTACTTATAATTTTGATTTAGAAAACAATATAAGTTACGACACACTGTTACAACTGGACAATTCCCACGTTCGTGAACTCCTTCCTCGAATAGGAGACCAGATAAAACTTTGTGCCGCCATCGACAAGATAAAGAAAGGGGATATCTATGTATGTTTTATGTGTAATGATAAGCATAATTCTTTGTCTAGTCTCGCTAAACATTTAACTAATAGTCACAAATTGAAGGGAAACGATGAATATGTATGTTGCCACTGTAATAGTTTGTTTGAAAGGAAAAATTACCTCCATCATTTACGAAATGTTTTCAAATTCCATAAAAATTTAGCTCCTTGTCTTAATAATGTGGAACCTAGAGTAGATGAGGCATGCGAAGATGATACATGTCAAGATGACTTAAATAATGACGTCACTGCTAATTCATCGATTTCAAAGTTAGATCAGTTAATTGTTGAGTTATTTGGGACTATCTTAGGAGGGGAGCTTGCGAGGTTGATAATAACAGATCTCGATGCCCTTTGGATATGTGATAGGGTCTCATGAGTGTACTAAAACCCTGAAGTGGTTTGACTCCATGGCCACATTTGCGCCCGCCACACCCACTCAAAAATGCCCAAAAAACGCTTTCACTCCAGTTTTCACTCACTCAAATCCACGCCAGAAATCCAATTTTACTCGGATTTTGAAATTTCTTTCACCATTATACTCCCAGATAGTTGCTTTCTTCAATTCCATATCAAACTCAATTTTGCTGATGATTATTTCGCAGGCGTAATTTGAGTTGTTGATTACTACAACAATCCTCATTCAGAATTTCAAATTTTAAAAATACTAAAAATTTCGAAAAAATTGGGTTTGATATTGGATTGAAGAAAGCAAGTATCTGGGAGTGTAATGATGAAAGAAATTTCAAAATCCGAGTAAAATTGGATTTTTGACGTGGATTTGAGTGAGTGAAAACTGGAGTGAAAGCGTTTTTTGGGCATTTTTGAGTGGGTGTGGCGGGCGCAAATGTGGCCATGGAGTCAAACCACTTCAGGGTTTTAGTACACTCATAGGACCCTACCACATATCCAAAGGGCATCAGGATCTGTTATTATCAACCTCGCAAGCTCCCCTCCTTAGAGTCAGGCAAAGTTCCGTATAGTACTTGTGATAAAATAATGGCTAAGGTTAAAGAATTAGTTTGTGAGTTCTTATCGCAATCATTTGAAACTGCAACAGACACTTTAAATCCCAGTCGAGACAAAAATGACAAGATAGAACAACTATTACAAGTAAAACGGCTTAGCTCATGCTTCGATAAATTTAGCTCTAAATACAAGCTAGATAAATTTCTTCTTCAAAGAAATTATTGATTCCTGGGAAAAAAATAGTCTTGGATACTGACATTTGTTTCCGAGTCGGTAAGGAAAATAACCAAAGACAAATTTACGAACCAATTTCTAGCCAATGTACTATGTGCCAATCAAAGATTCCATTACGCAGCTTTTGACGAAACCAGGATTTTATGAGATGCTAAAAACAAATATTTCTTGTAATAACGAGGTTTTCAGCTGTTTTAGAGATTCAAAGTTTTTTCAATCCTCAGAATTTCCAAAGGAGACGATTTTTCTGAATATCTATTATGACGATGCCGAAATGGCGAACCCACTTGGTTCCAAAAGCGGTAAACATAAATTAGCAAATTTTTATTATACTTTATTAGACATGCCGCAACATTATTTGTCGTCCGTCGATAATGTCGTGTTACTATGTTCGCTAAAGCATGATGATCTAAAGCTATCTTCTGCAAATGCCGTACTCCAGGTAATTGTAAATGAGTTGAAAGATTTGTGGGATAACGGCATAACTTTTTTTTACAATGGCACACTTATAAATGTCAAAGTTGCACTTGCCCAACTCTCTGGCGATAATTTAGGCCTGCATGGAATATTAGGCTTTTCCGAGGGCTTTACAGCGAATTATCCTTGTCGCAGGTGCAGAATGCGCAAAGTTGATTGCCAAAAGGCTTTTGTGTGCGACGACACAAAGCTTAGGTCAAAAGAAAACTATGATCTTGACGTGAAAGTTGGCAATCTATCTGCAACGGGGATAAACTTCGAAACTGTAATTAATCAGCTCCCGTACCATCATGTGACAAACATGTTCGTTTTTGACATAATGCATGATATTTTTGAAGGCGTTGTTCCAGATTTTGTAGTTTTGTTTGTTAACCATTGCATTAAAAAAAGGTATTTCACATTAGATACGCTTAATTTCCGGTTAGAGTCATTTAATTATGGAAGGCATTATGCGGCGAGCAAACCCTCCTTGCTTAAAACTTCCTTTCTCAAAGGAGAAACGAAATCATGCCAGAATGCATCTCAAAATTTGTGTTTAGTTTTATTTTTACCTCTCCTCGTTGGAGATTTAACACAGGAAACTGACCCTGTCATTGCATTATTGGCAACACTTCGAGGCTTGATCGACCTAGTTTTATCTAATAGAATATCGCGTGGAGGAACAACGCTATTAAATAGTCTGATTTCCGAGTTCTGCTCTAATTATCAGCAAGTTTTTTCGAAGCGATTAAAACCAAAACATCATCATTTGTTACATTATTCAGAATCCATTGAGCAAATTGGACCTTTAAAGCAATACTGGAGTATGGCATTTGAATCCAGACATAAATTTTTTAAAACCGCAGCTCATGCGATTTGCAACTTTCGTAATTTGCCAAAAACTGTCACTTACCGACATCAAGTTTTAAAATGTTTTCGGCTCTTGGCAAAAGATTGTTTTACTGAGTGGTCATTCGAAATCCCACAATATGAATACATTGAAGTTATGAAAACGAAGTTTCCCGAAGTCGTCATCAACCGGTTTTCCGTTAGTGCTGAAGCAAAAGTGAAAGTGTCGAATTGTATTATTTCAAATGGTTCCGAATTCAGAACAGGAAGTTTAGTTTTATTGAAATACTGTCCACTTTTTCCGACATTTGGCGTAATAGAGAATATTATTTTAGAGGATGATGAGTGTCATTTTATAGTAACGACTTATGAGAGTGAATTCTGTGAAAAATATTATAGTTTTAAACTTGGGAAAAATGGCGAAAGCTTGTGTATTGATTTTAGCTCTCTGTTATTTTATCAAGCTTTATATACATACGAATCCTTCGAATTCAATAATGTCAACAAATATGTCGTCCCTCCAACTAAATATGCATAAATATAATTTTAAGTGTACTTATCTAAATATTTTAGCAGCTAATTAAGATTTTTAATACGTTCTATTCCGTTAGCTACGTATGTAAATCTGAAATATGTAATTATTATACATACGTTTTTATGAGTATAGACAGGGAATGTACCAAGCAGTGAAAGCGGTGAAGAGGTGGAATCGCTTTTCGAGGGATCATTGATAAGCAGTAATGAAGCTCGTTGTCGCGGATTACAACTTCCTCCGGAACTTGTGAAAAGCTTCAAACAAAACCCTGCAACTATTCAGACGCCGCAATCAAAATTTATGCAGGTAAGATTTTCCTCAATGAGGTCAATATTTTACTAAATTAAAACTGCCTAGGTCCCCCAGATTGACGGCACGCCGGTCCAGCCCTTGATATATATTGCTGGGGACAATTTAAGTGAAAATGCGAATTGCCACGAGCATGAGGTAATCCACTACGAAATAATTCAAGATACTGGGGCCGCGGCGCAACCAGAGCCAGATAGGTTGACAGAAGTACAGGGAAAAAAATACTACGGATTTGTAAGTTTCGTCGTTTTATTCCGTACTTTTTCTTTGGCAATGTAATAAATTAAAAAAATGTAATTTCTGATTAATTTTGCAGAATATCGAGGAGGTTCTTCTCAAAGGCTTTGCTGGTTCAAAGGTGTTAACGACCAAACTTCCACAGAAGAAACTAATCATTTCAACCGACCGTCGAGCAATTGCTGCGGCCCTAATAGATAAAGTTATTTCAACTCTTGGAACAAGGTGAGTCGGATTAAAGAGACATGTTGCAAGTTAATTAATGTACAAATAATGAATGTCCTTATGTGTTATTTTATGCCAGCCCAAGTAAAGTGGCTTTAGAGCAACTGGCGAAGGACCTGGTTCTTTTGTTTCCTGGCCTAGGGGACCCTCGAAAAGAAGGCCGTGGATATGAGATGTGGTTTTTCCACTCCCATCACGGACTTGGGGCATCAGGATTTTTGGAAGACCGGCTCAAGAATCAAAGGAAAAAGGTTACTTCCAATAAGAAAACTCAATTAAATACTGAGTCGTTGGACGCAACTTTTTTAGACTGGTCTTCAGAAATTGAAGATGGTAAGATGGTGTTATTTAAGATAATATTTAGTAACCAAAATATTTAGCAATTTCATATCTCGAATTATTAATTATATTAATTATCCGGTTGTTTATTTAATGAACGATTTTTTACTTGCTTACTTAGAAAATCCTACGCCGGACGAGAAAGAGTTGGAGTTCCTGCGTCAAAATCACGGCCAGGAAATCAAAATAAAGATGAAAGAGACAGTTTTTCAAAGAAGAACTTTCATTCGCCAACAGACAGGAGTGGACGGGTTGTTGAGCATTATCAAATGTATGCCGAGATTGGTTGATACGGAAGGAATGGTAGGAATGTCCATTTTCGAACTATAAAACATTCAGTTTTGAAATAATAAAACAGTTTCCTTTTTATTGCATGCATTTATAGATAATTCAAGATTTCGACGTGAGACATCCCAAACTGGCCTTGATATTGTACGATAAATGGCCAAAGGTTTCTAAACTACTGATGGACTACGCTGAGGAGTGTGGCATTGACTTTGCAGACAAGCTTGGAGTTAAAAAATCAAGATACGAACTGTTGGATGGTACGTTGTTGAAACTTGCAAATGTTTAATTTTATAAGGAATTATTTTAATCAATATATTCTTGAAAATTTATGATTGATTATAATTTTTAAGATGATTTTCAATTGTTGGCTTTCGCTTTGCTGCCATACATTTTACCGTCATGTGGAAAAAAGTTAAAAACTATTGACGACAAAGAATCTGATGCAGTCGCGCCCGCGAAGAAGGGAACGCGAAAACAAGCGAAAGTTGTTAAAGGATCGGATAAGGATTCAATGGCTAGCATGATTCAGTTTCGATCAGTGAGTGCAAATTTCCCAGTACCATTTTAAACTTATATTTTTTTAAATCAGTTATGTATTCAATTTGTTTATATTTCAGCGAGCTACTCATGTTAGTGAAGTAATGCAAGGGAATCGCAAAGTTGCACCATTTATTCTGGCCGTTGGATCAACATGCAACATGGAATTTGCAGAATTTTTCGTTGTCATCGCTAAGTGTGCTATTCCATGCGGTCAAAAGTTCCTCAAGGCGTTAGACACGAAGGCATGAAGTGCTTCACGGTTCTCAACATCCCACCGCCAGTGGAATCTTGCGATCACTGGAAATTTATTTTGAGTGGAGTTTGTGGCATGCCGTATGAGATTGGGCATCTTCCTCCGGTGGTGCAGGCACTCAGTGGCAAATTATGTCAAGAATTTCTTAGGACGTATACAGACTTGTATTAAATAATTAGCTAAATAATCTTATTAATATAAATATGGTTTAATTGTAATGATGAATTGACATATGCTGTTACAATAAATACAAATGAAAAGCAATACCCTATATATGCAATTTATTAACTTCATATAGTTACTCTCCAGCATGATATGTGATAATAAATATTGTACTATATGAACTAAGCTCTAGATCTTTTTACTTCATGTGGGGTACGAAATGTGGGTTATACCGGGTACTGCAACTAACGTTATATAAAGCACACCGACCTCAAAAGATGTAGTAAAACGGATTACCCCATGATATTTTTCCCTAAATATACTCTATGTAGCATCACTGCACTTATTACTCCGTTTGAAGTTATTTTTTACCTCATATAAATGCAAAAATTTTAACTGTGTTCTCCTCATTAAGCTGGTTGATTACACATGTGTAATCTACATATCAGTGGAAGTGAGGTGAGGTGATATATGTAAGTACTAAGCACGAGGTCCTGCGTGTCGACGATTATTACCCTAGTTTGGTAATAATACGTAGGTAAATAAATGTATATGAATATGATAAAGATGGTAGGAAATCGTGCTGTGCATTCTTTGTCTGTTTATGATTGCGAAAAAGCACGAATCCATAACCAAAATTATCCTTAGGGGAAAAAACAAACCATAATTAGAAGACCCTTGAATGGTTAAGATTAATAACGAGGAGATAAACATATTCCCATGGTATTTATTTGTGTCTTTGTAAAGAATTTATCACAATTGGTGAGCTCACGCAAACGAGGCGGATGGAGGTGGATGCGATATGCACTGGCAACGGAAGCAGGGGGACATTGTCTAGATTAACCGAATGTGCAGCATTTTTTCTGAATGGGGACATAGTGAACAATAAATACATGCTATAATTATAATTAGGGACCAGTCTAAAATTTGGGAATCTTGATCTCTTGACCCGCCATATTTGGAGACCGGTTATAATTAGAATAGGGCTTTAAATATGTTGAGTAGGTATTTACTGTATTCGATTCATAGGATCGAACCCTTTCCAGCTTTTTCTAGAATTTAGGTTATAAACGAATACCACAAGAAAATGAGCAACCGAGCCACAAACTCAACGCGAGGGTTTACTGCTTGCAGTACAAGAATACAAACCTTCCCTTTTTAGAATTCAGGTCAACCCTGTCTTCCCCGTTTTTGACTTGGTTCCATGGGTGTTGCGGGACTCAGTCCTAATGCAACGAAGCAACCCCCAAATTTTGGTCGTTCATGTACTACATGACTCAAACCCCACGTGGGAGCAATCATAAGGGTTCGTATTTTTGAAGTTGCTTCCAAAATTTATATAAAATACTAACTTGTAAGAAAATGTTGGTGTAAGGTCTTAGGTCATGACCTTCAAGGTCACAGGTCATATGGACGACAAATGTGTCCTCTTTACCCCCCTCAAAAATAGTGTCATTCGAACGATAATATCAAGGGCTTCAACTTTAGTCCTTATCGCTTATGCTCTCCGACCACACCCAAGGCATGTGGGAGTGGTTAAAGTTTGCATCAATTTCTTACAAATAAATATTGCAGCACAACTACCCGAGTACCCGCACGGGTACCCGTGCGGGTACTCGTTACCCGCTACCCGTCATGACTCATGAGAATTAGGTTAAAAACTAAGCAAACTTCAGAATAAACTTGATTTAATCAATTATTTGCTTATAAGTAGTTTGAGCTAATGCTATGCGATTTACGCAACTTATAATTTGGTACTAGGTGTCTTTGAAACCAAAATTTTTGGCTTTAATGGAACCTTTTTCAAGCTATTCCGGGATTGTTCCTAGCGAGTTTGGCATGAGTTGTTAGGTCAGAACAAGGTTTTGATGCAATGTTTGATGCAAACATCAGGACAAAAATTTGGAATTATTATTTGGAATTGAGCTTGCATGTTTGATATGAGTCGCTAGACAATCTTGGTGTATTTGAAGCTTTAATAAAGGTTCCATTGTTTGTTCGTTTGATTTTTTAAAATGTTGATCTAAATGAAGTTTTCATTGAAAAATATGTCCACAACTACAATTTTTTCCTTCAATCGGATAGAGGAGCACAAGTTAAAATACCGTCAGTGTCACACACACAAATAAAATACAAGTCTTATAAGTAGTATTTGTGCTATATTTAGAGCATGCAAATTATGATTGAGAAACAATAAATTTCCGCATTTTCTGGACGTGAAAAGTATTTGAATCTGCCATAGGCTTCAAAGACACGCTCGATATATAAACGTTGCAGCTGGCAAATGACAAATTTTGAAGTGGATAAAGAAGAAAATCATACTTCTGTAAATGTACAGCCTCATGAGCTTCAAACTTCCTTTGTGAGTCAATTTATGGCAAAAAATTAAATAAAACTGAACTACCGGAGTTTTTTCGACCATTTTTCGACGCCATTGACTACCGTATCGAATTATTGGAGGTCAGAGGACTGTTTTATTTAAAAAAGGATTATTTATTCTTATTGAATTTATGCAAAATAATGATACTAAATTGATTAATTATACATACAGGGTGGTTAAAATGTCACGCTACAATGAAAATTTTTTCGATTGGAAAAATTTCTAAATTTCCCTTATTTTGTCTCTAAAAGTCAACATTTTAAGAATTTTGTCATCAGTCTTGATAATAATTTCAAAAATCTCTCCAAATACCAAATCTTTTTAACTAATGGAGATTTCAGGACTTTTCCCATTGAAAAATTTTCCATTGTAGCGTGACATTAAAACCACCCTGTACACGTCCTATAATTTTACAGATTCGCCGCCTCAACCCTAGTGATACCTGGGCGAGCCTTTATTTATCCAAAACCCTGGGACAAAAACGCAAAAAGGAGACGTAAATGTCCGCCCCAAGTCATAAAGAGATGGATTTGTTAGCCGAGGGATATTTGAAAAATAAAGAGGACCATATCAGCGCTATCGAGTTGTGCTACTGTTTGGCACAATTTGTAAAAAATGCTGATAAGCAGAAGAAAGGAAATTATCCATTAATGTTGCACCAAAACAGAATGTGGTTTGACGATGAGGGTGTCATTTCTAGCTTTATTAATGGACGGACTAGGTAAGTCTTCTAGTAAGTAATAATTTGTACAAGTCATTTGCATAGGGGCTGTTTCAAGTACAAGTAAAAATCAATAAGAAGTAATTGCAAGAAAGAACGTAGTTTCTTTCAGTTCTTGAGACGACAAGAAATTCAACGGGCAGGAAATTGCCGTTACAGATAGTTTATTTATAAGGCACATCGCCAGTTGATTCATACTTTCTTCGTTTTTTTGTCTCCTATCACATTTACTTTCTTGCTCTGCAGCGCAAGAAATGAAAAAAATCGTAATTTCCCATACATTGTTTTCTCTTCTGATCTTACTATCCTTAAATGGTTTTTCGATCCTTATATCTCATCAATAGAGATGGGGATTATACCTGAGCAACTAGGTAGCCACTTTCATATGGTGTAAAAGTTGCGTTTTGCGTCGTAGTGCAACATAACAGTTATTGTTTATTAACGTAAAATTCGTCAAATAATAAATTCTCAAAAAATGAATCAAAACATTGACATTGACGGAACTTGTAGGGTGATTGTGGGTCCCTAAAAATATACCAATTTTTTTAGATCCTCATTGGGAAGGGATAAAAATGTATTAAATTAAAATATTAAATGACAAGGAGATTTTGTTTTGATTCGTTTTTTGAGAATTTATTAATTGACTGATTTTCTGAGATTTTGTTTTGATTCATTTTTTGAGAATTTATTGTTTGGCTAATTTTGCGTTAATAAACAGTAACTGTTATGTTGCACTACGACGCAAAACGGGGTATTAGTTTAATTTGCAGGAAGAAAGTGAAAATTGGTGGGGTAGGATATAATGGGGGGCAGATCATCTCGGGTTGCATGTAATGGGTAGCATTTCGTGGGTAGCTTATAATGGGGGGCACAGATCAGCACACCATCTGAGCAGTGGGCTCCTCCAATAGGAGGAGTCCTCCTCGCAAAATACAAACAAACATTATTAACAATTTTTATATTTTTGGCTCATTATAATTGTCGATAAAAGCGCAACACATACCGATGGTTGTCCCCTACAAAGAATATTTCAAAATTCATTATTCGACATTAATATTGATTAGTTTCAAATTTATCCGGCAGAGAAATCTGGACTCAGGACCTGCATGCTGCCCCTCTTTACGTCAAGCTAGCCGAGATACATTCGTCCCTTCTTCCATCAAAGCTTGCAATACAGCCAGACATAGTGACGCCACTGGCCCTCGTTAATAAAGCCCTGCAACAGTACCCCAACTACAGCAAGGGGTGGCACCGCAAAGCAAAAATTTTGTTTAAGGTGAGTTCCCACAAAAAATTCCGGGGTTAGTGTGGACACGAAGCAATTATGGGCAGTACACCTTTCGACCAGAAAATATCAAAGTTTTCCGAAACAAAAAAATTTACGTCCTGCTTGTCCTGAGTTATGTATAAATTTGAAAAAAGTAGAAAAATCACCTTCATCCCGAATTAATTCGAGAGATTTTTTTCTAACTTTATGTTGTTTTTTATCAAAACGGGGTTAGTGTGGACGGTAGAATCTCATGTTAACAGATTCTAGTGTGCATACCTGTTTTAATTTTTTCAAAAATTTCCAATTATATTTTTCATAGTATTCTTGTGGTAAAATAATTCTGAATAGTTAGGATCAGCTAACAATTTAGTGAAGATAATTTTTTCTTACAGATAGCAATTTTTCTTTTCTTTGAAAAAACTAATTCGCACAAAAAACACTAATTCGCTCAAAAATGTCCACACTAACCCCGCCTTACCCTGCATATATTTCAACAATTCCAATAAAAATAATTTTTTCCTAGCTGAAGCAGCACCCAGAGGGCTTGGAGTGTTTGGAGGAAGCATTTACGTGCAGCGAAACGAATTGCGTGGCCCTCAGCGACCTTATTTTTCGCCTGATGAGCTCTCCCGATAGGGAAAAAAAACTTGACGAAATTTTCCAAAAGTATTGTACAGAATATGGAGAAAATCTCTGGGGGAAAATGAAAGTCGGGACGATTTACTATCTATACGGGAACTATTTATGGTAAGAATTTCGAAAATTGGAAGAGTTAAAATATGTAATAGTAACAAAAAATATGATTATTTTTATCAGGATACACAATTTGAGACGGGACGCTGTCACGAATTGGTTAAAGGCTGAAACCTCGAACCCAAACCTGAGGTTTTATTTTAATGGGTTGTACACCCAGAAAAAAAATTATAAGTGGCACAACGCAGCAGCGCTGAGATTTGAAGATATTATTCCGTATTTGCGCCTAGTTGAAGATTTGGGAGACGTCGATCGGGACGCGAGAAACCTCTTATTCGCGAAACTTAGCAGATTGATGGATCAATATTCTAAATACTGGCAATCAAAAAGAAAATTGTAAATGTAAATGTCTGGAATGGGTTTTTTAATACGTTGTGCGCATTGCGTGAATTAATTATACATATACTGATTTAATAAATATCGCTAATTATAACTATTTAGGAATCATAACTTTGTGAAGGTTTCTGTTTCAAAATTTTCTAAATCTAGGATATCTATCCTTAATGATTGTATAAAAGATTTGTTATTTTTACATGTGGGGTTGGAGAATCGTAAAATATTAAAATGTATATTGAAAGCTTGATCAAAACTATACCATGTATCAATTATTAAATTATTAGGTTATTTATTAGATATTAGTTTACAAATCAAGTATTAATTAACCATTACTGCAGGGAAATTAAGGATTTATTTATTTTGTTGCCTGAATTTATATCCTGATTTAAAAAAATAAATTCTTAAAGAGAAATTTCTTAGACTAGGAACATTTTTCAGCTTGTACGCTTGTAGCCTCGCTCTTTGCGAAGACGGGCTTCATGCCTAGTCGCATTAAAAAACTCATTTTTCCTCATCTTGTTAGGAATATGGGGCCTCTTATAGGAAATCGTCACCATCGGTTACAGAGTCACAATAATGAAGACCGGAATCTCAAAAAAGTTGATTTTGTTAAGATTTCCATAGTTTGTAGGGGTGATTTTTGTGAGTGCAACGGTATCGCTCAACTCCACCCCTTGCCCGAGGGGGAGGGGCCGAAAGTGGCCAAAATTGTAAACCGGGCCGCGGATTTCCAGATTATGGAAAAAGATATAGAAATATTGCTTCCACCAAAGGATTCCTAATTTTGTTTCTCCACATCCCGAATCGACAGTTTCCGAAAATTCGAAAAAAACTGACAAATTCTGGATGAAAATTTCTCACAGGACCACATAAATTGGGTATCGCTGGTAAGTTCTCGTCTAGTGGAATTTGAATATATATACTTTGTTGGGTCGGGGACCACCCCAGATGTTTTAGGGAACGAGGAATTTTTTTTACATTTATGCGGTGATGTGAGACTTGAAATTTTTATGCAAAGTTATTTTTTGAAAATTTTATTTTTCGAATTTCGAAAAACGTATGAGTTGGGTTGTAGAGAAAAAAAAATACGAATCTTTTGGTGAAAGTGGCATTTCGATATCTTTACCCATCAAGGTGAAATGCGCTGCCCCGTTTACAATTTTTGCGACTTTCGACCCCTCCCCTAGGGGGAAGGGGCGGAGTTGAACCAAAGTATTGGTACCATTGCAAAAACAAAAATCACCTCGACAAACTGTGCAAATCTTAACGAGAATTATAACAATACAGAATTCTATAAAAATATATTAATCACCTTTGTAAACATTTTTAAACTCTTCGACCTATGTAATTATTTTAGCGAAATACCTTAAATCTGAAATATAATGAAATATTTTTCTACGTATGATGAGGGCCAAAGGCCGTATTTTATTTAATAAATTGATTGATTGATTAATTGATTTATATATAATTGAATTATGATCTCAGAATTCAATTCGTGATGGAAACAATTTCTCCCAGATTTTTTTCACGAGCTGGATTGTGATAATAAATTTTAAAATCTACGATGCATAAAAGAATATTTATTGCTTGGAATAATAAGTAAATTAATGTTAATATTTAACTTGTGTAACGATGTGGTTGTGTAACGATGACGCTTGTTTTTCAACCATGCTGTCCATCAATAATTTAATTTATTATGCGATTTGATTAAACTTCAATAAAATATAAGGATATCATCCCGTGCGGTCTTCAAGGAATAAATTAAGCAGAACTCTTCAGTTTTGTTTAAACGAAACATGGAAACATTTTGTTGGAGAAATTCCAGAAATATTAATTCATGCACAACCACACTCCGCTCGGCCACCCGGTATGGCAAGAGATCAATTATTTCTATTCAGTGTATAATTAAATGTCAAGATTTGTCCAATTTTCGTACAAAGTCACGCTCCATGTCCATTTATAAACTGCAGAATTCTACTCAAACTGAACAAGAAGAGAATCAAACCACTTGTACTGAATATTACTCGGCATTTAGTTTAAATCAGACTAATCATGTCGTTTCTCAATTTTAGATACACCAATTTCATCATCGTGCTACTGCTTGGCTTTAATCTGCAAGGTAGGGATTGTACATATTTTACTTAAAATCAGATTCGTTTTCATCGCCTAATTAGAATAGAATGGCAAGGGTTATGAAAACGGGCTTCATTTTTAAACACAGGGTGGTTTAAATGTCAGATTACAATGGAAATTTTTTCAATCGAAAAAACTCGCAAATCTCCATTAGTTACGGAAATTTTGCCTCTGAAATTCAATATTTTAACAATTTTGTCAAAAGTTTTGATAAAAATTATTAAACATCGCAATCCCAAATCCGTAACTAATGGAAATTTACGAATTTTTCCTATTGACAAATTTTCCATTGTAACCTGACATTTAAACCACATAACTTGAAGTAAATTATGTAAATGTACTGTCTTAAAATTTATTTAGCATCCACTGCATATGACTGCAGTGATATTGACCACGATTTTATCGAGGTGTCATGCACTGGTTGGAATAACAATTGTCCTGACGGTTTTCGTGGACGTTGGGTAGAGAAGGCCAACGGCATCAAGCAGTGGTACTGCTATCGAGAACTAACCGCGGAGGAGGCTGCGATACGGGCAGATTGCATATGCGCGGGTTGGACCGCTGTTTGCGTGGATATGGAAGCCGAACGCTCGTGTGACCTGGTCATGGGCGAATGCAGTTTGAAATATAAACTACAGGCGTGCAAAATTTTGAAGTATGATGCTTATTGCAGAGTATTGAATACACTAAATAATGTGGTGAACCCTGTAATTGGAGTAGTGAATTAAATCCTGGGCTAAAATGTGTTTAATTGATGGTTGTTGTTGTTAAAATGAAAATGAACTTGATTGTCCTTCTGCTTTAATTGGTTAGGGATACAAGTAATAAATTATATAAACATGATGAAGGAGGGATGGGGGCATTATTTATTCATAAAGCAACTGCTAACAATGCGATGGTGTGAAGTGTAACCCTCCGATTTGGCTGATATTTTGAAATTACGTGGTCCATGTCAATACAACCAACGTTTCTTCACGCAGTTTGTGCGATGGTCAGAATTTGTCCAAATATTTGAGGTTAAAGGTGAAAAACGAGCGATTTTTACCAGGCGAGGGAAGCAGACTCAATTTCAATTTTTCTTCCGTGCTAAAAATTGCACATTTTTCCTGGACCATGAACTATTCGAAAATCAGGATTTGACTTTCAAAAATGCTCTGCTACTTACAATGGAGGTCTCCCAACGTATGCTCACAGATTTGGACGAAATTAGTGTCAATCGATCACAAATATAATTAGTATGAAATTTGCAAATGGAACTATCTCCCAATGCGCAGGTTTGGCAGAGATATTTGCATAAAAAGCGGGAAAAATGCGTAGCAAATTTGGAAATTGAAAAATTTGTTGGCCTTGGTGGTGCATTTTCTCCTCTTTTATGCAAATATCTCAGTTAAACTTGAACATTGGCAGATAGTTCCATTTGCAAATTCCATACTTATTATATTTGTGATCGATTGACGCTAGTTTGGTCCAAATCTGTGAGCATACGTTGGGAGACCTCCATTGTGAGTATAGTGCAAAAAATGTCCAAAACAGTTTGGATGCATTTTTTAAATTTTATTTCGCTGAAAGAACAGTCCTCAGCATATGCAGACATTAATCCCCTGTGTCATGACTGGTGGTAAAAATTAGAGATACAAGTATGTCCTAAATTTCATAAAAGCGAGGAAGGCAGGAGGTCATTCGTACTGAAGATCTGGGCGCTTTTCCCATGAAAACGGAGCGTGCCGCGATCGAGCAGCCGTCGTCACGACTTATATCTTCTGTTTAAGCCCCGGGACACCATTTCAATCCGTGTCCAGTGCCCCGGCTAAATTTCGGATCAGATTAGATTTTAAGCGGATTTTAACAATGGAAAAAGTTTAAACTTTTTTCTGGGACGGAAAAAAATCGGATTATGTTAAAGTCGATTTTTTTGCTTAAGCGGGGCTCTGAGAGTGGCCCTGGAGGAAATCTTGAAAAAGAAGTTATGATTTTTAAACCATATTAAAACCTTGTTCATCCATAAAAATTTCTAACCGATAGCTCTAATACTTCGGGGTTTATAATCAGAAATCTTTGTGCGGGAACTTATGAATCAACTATGTAAATAGGTATTTTCTGAATTAAGCATCGACTGTACTTAGGTATCCGTATTTTGTGAATTATGTAGTAGCACGATATGCAATTACATTCATAAGCCCAACCAGTATTGCGCACAAAATTTAATAAATAGCAACGAGTTTTAGGTATATGTAAATACAGGAAATTGGTATTTTAAACAAAATGGCACGTTTTTAATGGAGTGGAATTGCTTGTGTCGATACCATTCTTTTTTGCAAAAATTATAAGTGGTTTCAAACCTATGCTTTGTGCATGTTCGATACAAATTATACAAAATTGGGTTCGATTCGAGAATCTGAAACAAACATATACTTATCGCAAAATGTTATGGCATTTCCTTTTCCACAAATTATTGTTCGCTTACCTAAATTTTTACAGAGTACGGAAATCCATTTAATTCAAATACTTTACTCCTGCACTGAACGTTAGAAAATAGCGGACCAGCTTATTTTACAACATATTTTAGAAGTTAGATTGTAAATATATTTAACCTGCAACTTAAGCAAAATATTGCTCATATAACTTAGAATATATACTTTAGTTCTTTTAGAAAGGAAACTTTTCTTCAGAAATGTATTCAAAATTCGGTCTAAAACTCGTCCATTTCGCCATCATCCCATCATATTTCTTAGGATCGAATAGTATTTATTTCAATCCAGAAACTAAAACGTTTTACACTACCAAACTATCACGATGGAGACTTTTAATTGCGACCGTTATCATGGTTTTCATAGGACTTTTTATTTCTTGGAGAACTCTGGAAATCTTTTTATGCGGAGGGGCCAATTCAAATGAATATTTCCACATTTCATACGCCTTCAGTTATATCTCTGTCGTGTGTTGTGGGGCTTTCGTGTTCGTGAACCTGTATCAGAGTGATCTCTGCCAAGTGGGGTGCAGATTGGTGCGATATTGTCGCTAATTTGAAGGTACATACATTCATATCGTCGGACTAATTCATAAAAGACCTAAGTGCAGTTGATGCTTCATTCAGAAATGACCTAAGCGTACAGAAAAAAAGTAAAAAAAACAAGACTTTCGATACGAGAATGTATGTACATATGTATTTACTTATGGCTTATTTGAGCGATATAAGTAAGAAGGCTCGTTTTAGCAAGAAATAGCAATAAGTAAATATATATATAAGTAAATATGTACATAAATACTTGCACATAGGTCTTTTTTCCTTTTTTTCTGTGCATTTAGGTCTTTTCTGAATTAAGCATCGACTGCACTTTTATCTTTTATCTTTGGTATTTTATGAATTAGTTTGACGATATGTGGTTAATTGGAGGAATTTTTCATTATTCAATCCTTACTGTTTTGAAATTGCGGGTCTTTCGATGTTTTGAATAATTAAAGCATCCACATAATATAATCTGGTAGCACGATTTACGCATGCGGTAATTGGTTAGGTTGCAAAAATATGTGGCGCAACCTCCATGGTAATTCGTTTTTGGTTAGAATTTTTAACCTCGCGGTAGCCAGAACGGTAAAAAACTTGTTATCCTTGAGGTAGAGTAACCATTTGGGTTGTAATTTGTCCTAGATTATTTTATGTGTGATTGCTTATCTGAAAAAAATTCGCTCTGGTAGGGCAATGGATGCAAAATTATGACCCAAGTAAATCATTAACTGGGATTTTTATGGACGGTCTGCTTGTTCTGGGGATTCTTTCATTTTCGACGGGACCTTGGTTTTCTGTGCTGCATTATTTGGTGTATCCGCAAACGCCAATCTATCTCCCGACCATTTTTCCGCCGGCATGGGCAAATCATACCTTGATTTACTGGGGATACTCGTTAGTCGTCGCGTATTACTGCAACGCTTGTTGGCACAACTTACTGCTGATTCTCACCCTGGTGACGTTGTATATTTGTAAGTGCAAATTTAAGATTCTCTCTTACAAGGGAACCTTTTTTCAAGCTACACCGGGATCGACTAGAGAGTTATCTGAAAAAAATCAAGTCAAAAATTAGGAGTCACATGACACTTATTGAACCGTTGACTGGCCCCTTTGAAGAAAAATATGGGCAGTTAAGTTCAATTTTTGAGCAAATTATCTCTCGCTTTTTCCTCCACGGGACTAAAACCAGGGAGGAGTGCCAACTTTGACCTCTAATATTTTTCTTCAAAGGGCCATTCAACGGAAAGATTAGTGTCACGTGACTCCTAATTTTTGGCTTGATTTTTTAAAATAATCCCCTAGTCGATCCCGGTGTAGCTTGAAAAAAGGTTAAATTGTCAGTTATTGTGTTAAATACCGCAATACTCTCACAGTTTCGATCCTGCGCTTGATAAACGGTGAATTTCGGATCGGTGCAAGAAATTCAAAATGTGCGCCGTCTTTCCAGACCGCGTGGGTTTTACCGGGAGAGTACAGGTTGACATTTATCAGAATTTTTAATTTTCCTTGTCATAATTAACTTTTATTTTAAGATGTTTGGAACTGATCCATCGCCAAATGATGGATTGTTTTGGTGGATTATTACTAGGATTGCATGCAGCTCTCGGACAATTAATTTTATTTGCTAATGTGACCCTGATATTGTACCGAGAATCGTTGGAAATTCATGTGATTGTAATTTTCTCAGAATTATGGAACAGTTCTATACTCTAAGAAACCCGGTAACTAAGTTATTACCAGGCAGAGTATCTACCACACTGGTAATTAATTAATTATTGAGTGGTAGAAAATTAGTTACCAACTGGTAATATTTTTTAAAATCTTGCGACCGGGGTTGTTACCGGTTTGGGAACAAAATGTCTACCACTCAATAATAAATTAATTGCCATGCGGCAGAGTCACATGGACACTTCGCCTGGTAATAACTTTATTACCGGGTTTATTAGAGTGTAGTTAAATAAATAAATAAATCTAACTAATAATTACCTTTTTAGCTAATCCTGGTCGTCTGGTCGTTCTCTTCCCAGGCCATTTGGACCGTTGGGCTTGAGTTATTCGGCAGAATTCAGGCCGATGCTGGGAAAATGGTGAAATCTTGGAAGATGATGAAATTTAGAAATTCTGAAGAGAAACGGTACATGGCCAAGTTTCGGAGGGGATGTCGCCCCCTGCAGATTGGAAAAGAGGGCGTTTTCACGATCAAGCGGTTGACCGTGTTGAAATTTATGAGAGCCGTGATCAAGGGAACTTTTAGAGCGGTACTGACACTAGGAAGGGTTAAATAAATATGGAACAATTTAGGTAATAGTAATAAAATTTGTGGGGAATAATTTCAGCGTTTTTACATATCTTTTAATTGCGTCACATTTTTTAGAGTTGTATTTAAAGGGTGTTGATTTAATTCGATCACGTTTTTTACTAAAAGGAAAATGCTCGTTTTTAGAAACTACGGGTATAACCAAGAAGGCCAATTTGTTTTCAAGGATACCTTACTATTTGGTCTATTTAGCATGTACCTCAATCATTCATGCAAAATTCTTGCATTTATGTAGTTCAAGATAGTTGTTTTATCATACCCAATATCAAAATTCAATTTTTAGATGTTTCAAATATTTTAGAAAATTTGTTACCAAAGGAATACCTTAATTTAAAAAAAAGTTGAGTTTAATATTGGATATGGGAAAACAACTATATTCGAGTAAAAAATAAAACCAAATTGGCTAAGGCAGCGAGAAAAAGTGCGAAAAACGCACTTTTTACACAAATAGTTGGGAAGTAGGAAAAATGGGAAAAACTCTGGTTTGAAGCAATTCGAAATAACTTGTTTAAAATTTAAGATTTTCAAAATTTGACTTCATATTCGTTTTCTGCGTCAAATTCTGAGAAAACAAGTTGGTGATATGGTTCAATTCGAACAATCCCTGAAATTAAGGTGTATTTACATATATGGAAAAATTGGCAAAACAATCAAAATTGGTTGAAACGTTTGACTCAAAAGTGCCATTATTACATATCCAAATTTTCATAAATTTGCGGAGACGATGAATATGAAGTCCAATTAGAAAAATATTTATGATTAGATTAAAGTCGTTAGCTTTCCCTATATTTTCCCATTTTGCAAGGTAAAAACCGCTTTTCCCACTTTTTCCCACCTGCCGTGGTAAACAGTAGTTTTGCACGTTTGCAGGTTTTTGCACGAGAAAAACGAAACCCTAATTGTAATCATTTCAAACAGATAAGGGCAATCATTAAACGAAAAGTGAGACAATTTAAACATATTTACAGTAGCAGTCATCCGTCATTTGCAGATCATTGTACCACTTATTTCATTTTTCATCCAATTTAAGGCTCTGTACCAGTAATTCACCAAGGTATTCAAGTACCCTTACTACCCAAATTTCTTGGGACTGAAGCACGATAGCACGTTTTGGAAAAAAGCCGTTGGTGGTAAATTTATCAACATATTTTTTAATGAAAAATGTAGCCACCCAGTACTACCAACTTTGCGAAAAAAATAAAACCGTGATTAATGTTTTAGAGATTTCAAAAGACGTTCACAATTTTGGGGGCAGTTCTACTTTAACAATTCTTATTTATAGCGGTGGAGAATAGTGTGGCGCAGATGGTATAATAGGTCATAGACCCAGAAAAATGGTGGTGGACAGTTTTTCCTTCAGAAAACGTAGCACTGACTCAATTACGCACTCTTATTTCATAAATATCAAAATTTTGGAAGTGTTTTGGAGTCTCTCACTGATTAATCCACCTCGGTCATAATATTAGCTACAACTTCTAACTCAAAATTTCGTGTAAAATACGGAAGTATCGGCAGGAACGTCTTTGGAAAAGTTACATCCGGCTAGTTGTCAAGTAGTATATAAGATTTATGTACTTAAAAAAACCTCGAATTTTCGAACCTTGAAACTTTAAATTCATCAAAATGTTCGTATTCATAAGGTAAAAAGGAAGTTTGGGTCTATTTCTTATTTATTTTTCCTAGTTCATTGACTTTTAACTTGCTAATTTTTCCAAATTTGCTTCTCCAATTTTACCAGGGGGAGGGGGGAGGTTGCATATAATTTTAGAATTAATTGGGTAACTAAGGTCAAAAATATATTTGGGTGTTTAAAGTTGGTACAGAGCCTTAATCATCTTATTTAATCTAAAATTTAAAATTGGGGTAGAAAAATCAAAAACTTCCAGGATGATTGAGGTAATAAAATATTTTAACACAAGGCAATTATGTAAATGACAAAAAAATCCTAAAATCAATAAATCAATTGTCCACAGAAGATCTCATAGATGTGCACATATCAAATGAAAAATTGTGACAATTTTGATACTTTATCAACCAAATCGTGTCAAAATTAGCAACAGCATTGCTAAATACGCTGTACATGTGTATTTGTGCACGTGTGTAAAATTGAGCGTAATGATTAATGGAATTTGTATATTGAAATAAGTTCGAGCCTGAGGAGAAATTCGTAATCAATTGTAAACTCTGGAGATTTTATAATAGGCTTTATACAATATTTACTCATTAAGTTGGTGGATTATATATGTATGTGTAATCTATTTATCAGAGAAGTGAGGTGATACTAAAAATGCGATGACGCCAGCAGTCTCGCTCCGATTTTGATGATACTTCGATAATTATGTAGCCTCAGGTAAATAATTGAGCACATGTTTCAGGATTTTTCATAATGCTCAGTTTAAACAAAGTAATGTATGATGGTAGAAGTGGCCGAAAATTCGCATTGTTCTCCCTCAAAAACAAAAAAAGAAAAACTTCACGAGAAAAATGCGAATTTTCGGCCACTTCTACCATCATACATTACTTTGTTTAAACTGAGCATTATGAAAAATCCTGAAACATGTGCTCAATTATTTACCTGAGGCTACATAATTATCGAAGTATCATCAAAATCGGAGCGAGACTGCTGGCGTCATTGCATTGTAAGCACGAGGATGATAACGCGTCGACTGTTATTATCTAAGTTCGGTAATACATAGGATATGATAAAGATTATAGGAAACTATGCTGTACCCAGTGGGCTTATGTTACGTCACCAATCCATAGTAAATACATTTGTATGTACATATATTTCATTCATAGGATCGAACCCTTTCCAGCCTTTTTCTAGAATTCAGATTATAAATGACTACCACAAGACACATGAACAAGCGAATCACAAACGCATACGCTAAAGGCGAGGGTTCGACTGTTTGCTACAGTGCTTATAAGCATACAAATCGTCCCTTCTTAGAATTCAGGTAAACCCTGTCTTCCACACTTTTGACTCAATTCATTTGACTCAGTCTTGCTCCCAGCGAAGTGCAGAATGGTTATTAGTAAAACCACCACAAGCCACCCTAAATACACTATGATTATTTCCCCATATTTGTAAACGAATCGTGTTTTCGGAAATGTATGTATTAAAAAGAATATCCAGTTACTCAACAATTTTGTAAAACTCGTGTGAAAAATCCTGTCAATATATTCCTCTTTAAATTACCGAGGTATTAAATAAATATGTAATACTTCCACACTCTAAGAAACCCGGTAACCCTTAAATTAATACCAGGGGAAGTATCTATGTGACTCTACCGCAAGGTAATTTATTTGTTATTGAGTGGTAGACATTTTGTTACCAAACCGGCAATAACCCCGGTCGTGAAATTTGAAAATATTACCAGTTGGTAACTAATTTTCTACGACTCAATAAGAAATTAATTACCATGCGGTAGAGTCACATAGATATTCCGCCTGGTAATAACTTAGTTACCGGGTTTCTTAGAGTGCATGCATGGATTCAAATTTACTTTATCGTTTACCAGGAACCTAAAAGTACATTTGATTTAGTTTACGTAGGGGAAATCGTCATCAGAGGAGTAGGAAATCAGCCTAATTGCAAATGGATTCCAGCTCCCACACTAATTTAGCTTGTCCCCACTGCGGAAAAAGTTTCAAAAAGAAGCGCTATCTGGACAAGCATATCCACACTCATGAACCGGATGTAGTATTTAAGTGCGGGGTAAGTGATCGACATTTTGCAAAATCCTACACATTTTGTCATCATTTTCGCAGTGAAACCACATTTGGACAGGGCCGGAATAAATTCAAAATATCTGTACTTATGTCTTTAGCAAATCCATATTACAGGAGGTGTATGTAAATGTGTCTGAGAAGTTATTTGGCAATATATAATTTAAATAATTTCGTCATTGGCAACAAAAGTAAAACTATTGGAAAATAAATAGATTCTATTTAATAGAATGAGACGGTGTACAAATTTCTATTCACAAAATTTAATTTTACCTGCTAGATAACCTATCAGAATTTTTTGCGACTAATACTTAATACTGGATGAACAGTAGTGCTAAATTTTCTTTAAGTAGTTATGTACGACATATGCAAATTTAAATTTAGAGAATGCCGGAAGTGTGTACCACAGCCCTCCTCTAAAATTTTTGTGGTGCCTTAAGCTAACAATGCGATGGTGTGAAGTGTAACCCTTCGATTTGGTTGAAATTTTGAAATTATGTGGTCCAAGTCAATACAACCAACGTTTCTTCAGGCAGTTTGTGTGATGGTCAGAATTTGGCAAAATATTTGAGGTTAGTGTTTAAAAAATATCCAATTTTTAGCACGAGAAGAATGAAAGTAGAGTTTGCTTCATCCGCCTGGTAAAATCGCCCATTTTTAAACATTAACCTCAAATATTTTGACAAATTCTGACCATCACACAAACTGCCTGAAGAAACGTTGGTTGTATTGACTTGGACCACATAATTTCAAAATTTCAACCAAATCGAAGGGTTACGCTTCACACCAACGAATTGCAAGTTGATCGCCCCTGTACATAGGGTTGCCGCGGGTAACGGGTCGGGTACCCGTTACCCGCATACCCGCACGATTCTTGCGGGTACCCGTTATCTGCGGGTAGTGAGAACTACCCGCACGGGTAACGGGTAGTTCAGTTTTTATTTAATTTTGGACATAAATCAGTTCACAAAGAAAGGTAGCATCAAGTTAGTCTATTTACCAACAACAGTCAGTTTATTGTTTATGCATTTCAAAATTTGCCATTTGCCAGCAATTAGAGTTTGTAACGAGCGTGTCTTTTCGGAAGCCTACGGCAGCCTCAAACACTTTTTGCGTTCAGATAATTCAGAGAAATTATTGTTTCTCAAGCAGAATTCATCCTTTCTTAAATATCGGTACTAATTTGGCTTGTATTTCTGCGTATTTATGTAACACTGACGATATCTTAATTTTTTCGGGTGAAAATCGTCGATAATATTGAAGGCAAAATTTGAGGCAATTTTTTAAAATGAAAACTGAATTTAAATCAAAATTTCAAAAAATCAAACTACCAATGGAAGCTTTTCTCAAGCTACACCAGGATTGTTAAGCGAGTTATATCAAAAAGATAAGTCAAAATTAGAAATCACGTGATTCTTATCTTTCGCTGACTAGTCACTTTGAAGCAAAATGTCGCTGCAAAGTTCAATTTTTAAGTAAATGTTCTTTTTTTTCCTTCACTGGACGTAAACCATGCTGGACTTTGACCTGCCCTCCCCCACATAGTTTTCTTCAAAGGGGCCATTAACTGGAAAGATAAGTGTATGTAATTCCTAATTGCTGGCTTGATTTTTTGATACAGCTCGCTAAGAAACCCGGTGTAGCTTCAAAAAGGTTCCATTGTAAGAAAAATGTTATGTATTAAATGGAAATAAATAATGACATCTACCTAGCAAATTACGGTATGCGTTACTTGCTTCACGTTATCTCAAACTACTAATCAACCCAAATGAGCAAATAATTGATTAAACCAAATTTATTCCGAAGCTTGGTTGGGTTTTAGCTTAATTCTCATAACGGGTAGCGGGTAACGGGTACCCGCACGGGTACCCGTGCGGGTACGGGTAGTTGCACTGCGGGTAACGGGTCGGGTAACGGGCAGCATTTTTGCTACCCGCGGCAACCCTACCTGTACATAATTGAAGCTATAATCCATTTCTAAAATATTTCCAGATCTGCGCGAAAACGTTGAAAAATCCCAGCTCCTTGTCCCGGCATAACTATCGCAAGCACAATAAACAAGTCTGCACAATTTGCTCTCGAGAATTTAGCGGCCCAGAAAACCTTAAGGTACACATGAGCCGCGTGCACACCACCGGAGTACGACAAAGATACCCTTGTCCACAGTGTGATAAATCGTTTCTTGGCAAGTACGCAGTTGGCCGACACGCTAAAGTGGAACATGCCCAGAGCCCTGTTCGATTTCGGTGCACCCTTTGTGGAAGGGAATTTAAAGAAAAACAAAACCGCAACAGACACATTGCCACGCATACGAGAGAGAGAACTTTCAGGTGTGAAGTATGTGGACATAGCTACGTAGACGAGGCGACATTGAAAATTCACAAGGTAAAAGCAAACAATTTGTAATTTTTGAATTTTTAACTACGTCATTTCGTTTGCCCCATTTTGAGATATTTGTGTCTAAAGTTATCACAAATTTTCTAAGTGAATGCAAGAAACGTTCACGGTCAAACTTTGGACTCGAATATCTAACGCAATGTTAAATTTTTGATTTCTCAGTTTTTAGAGTTTTATTAAAACTCTTGAATTCTTGAATTCTTCCTCCTTTCGCCATGACCACACCATTCTTACAGCGTCCCCGAATTGTTGCATTTTCTTGTTTATCATAAACGTTATAGGGTTTATATCTTTATGTATTTAATTTAAAATGTTCCTTCCTCTTTCAGCGTATACATGACGATAAATCTTCACGGGAATCGTTCAAGTTTAAGTATTGTCCTCAGAGATTTTTTGAATTTTCCGGGGTTCGGTATCACGAGAGGACTTACCACGAAAATCGGAGGGACTATCAATGTACGATTTGTAACAAGAAATTAGTGACAGCATACAGTTTAAAGTATCACGTGGAGGCGAAACATCCGACCAATGAGATGCCGATTTATTCCTGTGACCAATGCGGGTACACAAATAGAGTAAAGAAAAGCTTAGCTAGACACGTGGCCCGGGTGCACGTGGGTTTGAGGACCAACGAATGCTACTTCTGTGGAAAGAAATTTTTCTCTTTTTCTGATCTGGTTGGTCATTCTGGGCGGATGCACACCCTAGAAAAATAAGTGGGAGTTGTTCGGTATCTTAATTTATGTTTGTGTATGTACAAATTAAATTTTAAAATAAAAAAAACTTTACAATGAAACAAATAAATACAGAGTTTTTATTTTATTTATACATATTCGTCGAGTTTAGTAATATTCTTAATAAAAAAAACATAAATAGGTTAAGAAAATCTAGAAATAAATATACTTATATACAATACCATCCTGTATAGAATGACAGGCACACGGATAGGTGAAAAATAGTCGGAAACAAAGGAAAATACCACTCTGGTAATTAACTTTGCTCGCAAATAGATATTACCAGGTTGGTAAAAAAAATTATTAAACTAGCAGTAGAGTCACACCGCAGGTAATAAGACCTTTTAACGGATTATTTTTTGTGTAAACCATTGGTGTATTTATGTAGGGAGGTGATTGGAAAAGTTACTCAGGTTTTTATGCCTTATGGCCGAAATTCTTGGTAAAAGTAACCTTTAAAAAATAACTTAAACAGGCACAAAGTGAGCAATAAATTCCTAAACAACGTGACTACTATGTATTATTTATTTGTATTTAAATATATATATATATGCTGACAAAAGTGACAGAAAGATTTAGGGTTCATCCACATATTGCATCATCATTTTAGCATCCACCAACTCAACGTAAACATTAAGAGATAGGGAATTTTAACATGCGAAGGATAGGAAGACCTAAATCAAAAATGACTCCGTAATATAAATATGGACGTTACCTTAAACAATAACCTAAAAACCTGGTACCACTCTGATTTGGTGGACAGTCTTTGAGAGGAACTTCACCAACACAGAGTATCCAGAGAAGATTTTGAACTTGAGAAACAATATAATTTCCACTCGGAAACGGTACGATGGAAAGTTTCTCACTAAACGATGCTCCACTTGGTAACAAAGAAGTCTATGGGGATCCTTTTACCACGATGGGATTGGTCCTTATCACCATGGCAATTAAACGTGTGGTAATTATTTTTTGTTGCTTTATTACCAAATGTAATTTTATCTTACTAGTTTAGTCGTTTGAGTGTACAGCGATCCCACTATGTAGATTTAGGGTATGCTACCGGGTATCGGGGGTTTTGGGGTATTGCGGGTTTTAGTGGGTTTTGGGGTAGCAAATATGAGCAATACCCACGTTATTTGAATTTTCGTTAAATTCAAATATGTACCATTTCATAAATAGTGATACATTTAGTAAAAATAATTTGTTCTTAAATTTCCTAGGTGATGAGTATCATAGGATTTCTGTTTGCGTTTGTGTTTAACTCAATTGGCGGAGGCATTTTTAGCGGCCCGTGCATTGTGAGGGGCTGTACGGCAACCCTTTTATGTGCGTGAGGGGAACAATTTATCCCAAAGGGAATGTTCATAAATCATGTGCTCGATTTTGAAAAATCTAGCCCACTCCCCCCCCCTTTGGTGACTAATGAAATATACCTCCCCCCCTGCGTCACGTGGCTCAGGTTAGTAATAGCACACAAATAGTAGATAATTCATTTTTGTTAGCCCCTGTCGTTTATTTTCATCCAAAAATTAAAACAAAAACTTACTTAGGTCACGTGCCCTCTGACCATCACCCTCCCTTCCCTGGTTATAAAAGGTGACAAATTTCAGACCCCCTACACCCTCCAATCGATCACGTGATTTATGGACGCTCCCAAATTAGTCAAGATTATATAGATTTAAATTTTTAATTGAATGTATAATCAATTACAGATAGTGCACCCCGCTTTCTTCAAATTAATCACGATATTTATCTAAACCTTGAAACATCTCGGCTTTATCAAGGAGTAATGCTGTATTGGAATTATAGATTAGCCCGAGCATTGTATGAGGTAAGATTTTTTAAGAGTTATAGAATATAAAGTAATACCTGTTCAAAAAAACTTTTTTTTTCATACACAGTTCAATCATCCAAATTTCCGAGTGAAGATTATCATTCGCATTCAGTCACTTATTTTTATCAAGCTAATTTCAGTTCATTTATCTTACCTCATTTTTGCTTCGCCCCATGTATTTATGTAAATTTGAGCCTGTATTAGAACCTTAAAAATGTTTTTCAGCGGGATACCGAGACGATGTCGACCTGGCTGGTGATCAACGTGTCCGTAACTGCCATCGAGTTTTTCCCTTTGGTACTTTCATACGGGATTTGGAGTTATCAAGAAAACCACCCTTACCTCACCCTGGGGGAAGATATGGTCACCTCTTGGATGGTCTGGAGTCATTCGAAAGACTTGTTGGAAAAGCACAAACTCACAGATTTTTGCATAAAGTGATGAATTTACAAAATAATCCGGTTAGACGTAAGTATTTACATACAGTATGTGCGACTCTACTGTTATGGTTACGAATTTGTCAGCGCTGGTAATAAATTTTTTACGTAGTCGTTAAAATTTGCAACCAGGGAGTAAACTAAATTACTAGAGAGATATTTTAATTTATATCTAACTATATCGGACCCCTCAAAGGTAATAAATTGATTACCGACCGGTAGTAACTTTGTTACCAGTCTGGTAAAAAAAATTTCCCATGGGTTCCAAATATTATAAATAGATTCGGTAACAAATTTACTACCGGTCGGTAATCAATTTGTTAAAATGATGGTTAAGTCACATAAACATAATCACCAACTGGTAATAACTATGTCTTACGGCATTCTTTTTAGTGTAGGGTTGTCTAAATTTTATCAAAATTTTATAGCAACCTAATAAAACCATTACCGTCCAAGGCGATAATATAAAACAATGATGGCTATATCAATACTGGATGAAATAAAATTACATTTCTCGTCTGACAAAATATTTTTGTAACCTTTATTTAAAAAGCATGCAATTATCCCGGGTGAAAAATTTAAGGGATTTTATGCAGAAATTTTTACTGTAATGCAGAGAATTGGCTGTATTTTGTGCAGAAAAATTTATGGCGAAACAATTTGTGAACAAAATATACAGAATTATGCATAATTGTTCTAAACCTTTATGCAGAAAATACCTGTCAGAAATTTTATGCAGAATAGTTCATGCTTTTTCTGCAAAAATAGTTTTTCCGGGCACTTGTATAATTATGTCAAATTCGACATACGATTTTCACCTGGGATTTCGCATATCTGCAAAAACATGTTGGCTTGACCGGTGTGAAATTTAATTCTTATCAAGCACCAATTTTTTAAAGTCAGTCGTACAACTATTCCAAGTTCGATATTTTATGGTAAGAGTTTTTAAAAATCCTTTCTACGAATATTGATTTATTCGCTTAGTGAATTTCGATTTTAATTTATGAAACGATTTCCGATTTGTAGACGTAATAAATAAGTATTTATAAAACAAATAGGAAATAAGCCCAGTACAATAATTAGCTTTAAAGTAATTTCCAGCTCAGCATCCACATAATCTTAAATCTATAATAAGTAAATATATATCTACATATTCCCATTTTAATGCAACATTAGTGCAATATTTAAATTAGCATATTATAGTAATTTTTATACTTGTTTTGTGCGCTTAGTCTGCACTTTTAGGGCAGAGTTGCACATATCCTACTTAATATTACAGTGTGAGCTTCTTCTAACGTTACAACGGTTTATGTAACTAGATGGGCAATCTAGCCAATTTTATCACATTAGCAAAAAAATCAGGCAACAATCATTGCCGTGTTGGTGTATTGATTATTTTGTAGGAAACAGTGCAAGCAAATAATTATTCAAGGACGACAACAACGTAACAAACGAAGCCTTATAATCATCTGAACTTGGAAACAACCATAAGCACTTTAAATCCTGAAGAAGTGGAAAAATTTGGAAAATTATCGGCAGACTGGTGGAGTCCGGCTGGCCCGTTGACATCCCTGCATGCCATGAATTCTATATAAACATTTAATGTAACGTAATTCGAATATGGGATGGTTGTAAATTACTGATACTAAAATTTCAGATTTTTTTCTAAAAAATCTGAAATTCCTGAAATTCCTACTAAAGTAGGAATTTGAATTTGCATTATTTACAGTATAAATCAACCGTTGCAGCTGATGTAACCAAGGGGTGAAAGAAGTGTGTCATAGGTCAAAGTGAATCATATTACGTTCGGAAATTTGTTAAAATTGACACTTCTTATGTATCAAAGATGTGTCAAATTTAACAGTTTATTGTGACCCTTCCGGACCTTTTAGGCCAAAATGAAGGTCACCATTCAATTAGGGGTTAAATTCATCAGTTAAATTCATCAGTTAAATTCATTCAAATCTTGTTCAATTCATGAATGTATGCAATCTGACCTTTAAATGATATTTGGTGACCTTTTCACCTTGAAGGGTGTCACCTACAATATCCTTCTTAGAACTCGTCCTCTCTATTGAGGTTGGGAGCTTACGTTCAAAAATTAGAGTCTCAAAATGTCTTTCCTTTCAAGAGTTATCGGAGCTACGTATGGACGGACGAACCGACGAACATAACGATCTTATAAAGGGCTGTCACCCCTGAATAATTTAACTACTTGATGCATATTTCCATTCAGCAGTTGAGATTCTGCTTCAATTGTGCATATTTACAGTAGACATGCACCGAGTACTCGGCAGGTTTTGGCCGTCTTGTCACTACTCGGACTCGACCGAGTATTTTTAAATTTTTTTTTATAGATCCAGTACAACATTCCCCGGTACTTACACAGTTCAAATTATCCAGAATGCAATTTTTGCAATCAAAATCATACTTATATACATAATTTAAAAACATACTCACTAAATTTGTTAATTCTAATTGTCTCGACCCAGGTTTAAATATTTAAAGGAACCTGCTAGTACAGCATGTATTTAGTTAGCGCTTATTTTCTGAAGCCGGGTTAGTTTTCGAAGATAATCGATCAAGACTTTCTACGGAAATTGCTGAAACATTAATTTTCTTATACTACAACTTGCCACTTCTCGAATTCTTATATTAACCAGGTCACGTCTGTATGTAAAAATGTTGTGAACATACTTTGATACGTTGATATTGGGTTATTTGTTTGACAGATTGTTTAATTTAAATGCAATTTTGAAAGCTTTATAATGTAAACAGTTTCCCGTTTTGAAAATAATAAAGTTCGCCTATAATTGTTAAGCAGTTCTGAGACCTGTGGTTATATTATTTAATAAACTGATGATGTTTTTAACAATTTATTCGCTGGTCGAGCCTTGCTCGGTACTCGATTGCCGGGCTTTGCTCGGTGCTCGGCAAATGAGCAGAAACGAGTACTCGGCAAAAATAAAGCCGAGGACTCGGTGCTCGGCCGAGTCGACTTTTTCGGTACTCGGTGTATGTCTAATGTACAGATTTGCGTTTGTTAATTTCACTCATTGGTAAATCAATTACTTGTTTAAATATAATTTGCAGATTTGCTAACCACAAACCCGCAAAACCCCAATACCCTATAAACTCGGAGCAGCGTACCCTGATTGCTTTGTATTGAATTAATTTGAGCACGTGTGTTTTAGCCAGGTGGATCGATATATTTGTCAACTCCAGGAAAATCAGTATTTTCTTGGATGACTTTGATCCTATTGATGGAGCACGTGCTACGAATCTTTCCCGTGGGAACCCATGACTACGATAAATTAATAGATTTGAACGATACCCTAGCAATGCTCAGAGAGAGTAAGGCATCCAATTTAATTCCTACTTTGAAATCTTGAAATTAATAGAATTTAATATTTATTTGTAGATAACTGCGAGATAAAGGAGATTCGAGGCAGTTTGTATAACCCGCTCCTTAACGTGTGGCACTGGAACGATTTATTTACGCCGGTTGCGTATGCGGTGCATGCTGTAAAATCTAACTAGTTAGATTTAAATTTTGTATGAAGGTCAAATTTTAGGTCAAAGAGGGCACGTCTCGACTTCTTATTCAAATCGTTTTTAAACAATATTATGAGGATAATAAATATCAAAACCCCATGTGAATACGAACTTCGGTTGGCTCACAAGAATTACAAGAAAGGGATATGTGTAAACGTAGTAATAATCTTAATTATTTTCATTATTTATCGTTACTCTCGTTATTTTCATTGCCAACTATTCATTAGATTTGCCAAATTCCACAAGCATTTCATTTCGGCCTTTATTTACATATGTGTCAAAAGATATCAGTTTTGAAATCTATGCCACCATTAGCAATACATAAGCAGTACCTGCATGGCCTTTATGCACAATTAACATAAGTGAAATAACAGAAGTAAAATATTTGTGGTAGCATCGAAGGGAGCCAAGTTTGTCAATTTGAGAACTAGTTCTGTCGAGAAATATTTTAATAGTTATAAATTTAAATTTATAACATGCATTACTTATACATTAATTACTAATTAAAATAAGGCATTTGGTATTTTGGAATTTCATAACTAATAGTACTAACAGGATGATATCTTTTAGGTACATATGTATTTATTAGGGAAAATTTATAAAGACTTGGAAGTGAGCACAAATCTCCACACGGCCAGAAGCTACGTCTGAAATTGACGCACGAATGGGAAGCGTACTTCCGGCCAAGACATCATTTGGAACAATTGTGAATTTGATTACGTAAGTTAGTCCCGGCTGCACGGATGAGTTGTCCAGGTCGGTATCGATAATAACTAGTTCTCCAGTGAAATAAGTAGTTGTGACCCTGAGGTGCATTTGGCTTGAGGCGGTGCTCGGGATCAGGTCTCCTTCAGCTAGGTATGGAGTGCCCGGATTCTAACGGAATGAGAGTTAAAGCAGAATTAATTAGTAATTGATAATTACAAAGAAAATATTTTGTCTAATTAATTGGTAATTAGTAGGGTTGCCGCGGGTAGCGAAAATGCTACCCGTTACCCGACCCGCTACCCGCAGCACAACTACCCGTACCCGCACGGGTACCCGTGCGGGTACCCGTTACCCACTACCCGTTATGAGAATTAGGTTAAAAACTAACCAAACTTCAGAATAAATATGATTTGATCAATTATTTGTTCATTTGGGTTGATATGTACTTTAAGATAATGCTATGCAAGTAACGCATGCCATAATTTGCTCGTAAATATCACTCGTTATTTTTGAAACCAACAATTTTGGCTTGCATTGAATCGTTTTTCAAGCTAAACCGATTTATGCACATATATCAAAAAATTGAGCCAAAAAATAGGAATTACATGACACCTATTTTTCCGTTGAAGGACCCGTTTAATGGAAACTATTGGGATGGGATAGAGAGCTCAAAGTCCACCATGGTATTTGTTTAATGGAGGAAAAAATACGGAACATTTACTTGAAAATTAAACTTTGCCGCCGATATTTTTCTTCGAAGGGGCCGTTCAACGGAAAGATAAGTATCACGCGATTCCTAATTTGTGGCCTGAATTTTTTATATACTCGCTGGGCAATCTTGGTATGGCTTGAAAAAGGTTCAATTTTTAGTTTGATTTTTTCAAATTTTGATTTGAATTAAGTTTTCATTCGAAAATATTATCTACAAATAAATTTTTTGCTTTGAATCGGATTCAGGTTTTTCACCTTCGAACATGTTAAAATCTCGTCAGTCTTACATACATAAATACACACAAATACAAGTCAAATTATTACTATATTTAGAGCAGGCAAAGTATGCTTGAGAAACAATAATTGCTCCGCAGTTTCTGGACGTCAAATATATTTGAGGCTAGCATAGGCTTCTGTGGCTTCCGAAAAGAGACTCCGGCTATAAACGTTTGTTGCTGACAAATGACAAATTTTGAAATGGAAAAATAATAAATTGCCGCTTTTGTTGGTAAATGGACTAACTAGCTGCTAACTTTCTTTGTGAACTGAGTTTTGACGAAAATTAAATAAAAACTGAACTACCCGTTACCCGTGCGGGTAGTTCTCGCTACCCGCAGATAACGGGTACCCGCAAGAATCGTGCGGGTATGCGGGTAACGGGTACCCGACCCGTTACCCGCGGCAACCCTAGTAATTAGTTAATTGAACTCAGGTTGGTAATTCAGCCCATTAAATTAGCTAATTAATTAGAACATTGACCAATCAATTGGTGGTTTCTAGTGATTCTCTAATTAATTATGAATTAAAAAATTAGCTTCGGTATTACCAGTTAAGGTTAATTATAGTAATTAATAGTTAGTTTAAAGATGGTATTTCATTAGATAATTAATTAGATTGACTAATTAACTAGAAAGCCATAAGTTAAATTACAAATTTCAACGCTTCTTATTTGTTGTGAAGTGACTGCAAAATTTCAAAGCTATTGTTTAAGTTAAAAAATTGCCAAAATTTGCATAAATGGACTGCCCTTTTGCTTACCAGACGGCAACTTGTTCCATTGCATGTTTCTACCCTTAGTTGCGTAAGAGTTCCTACGCCGCCGCATCTCTCGTAGCTAACGACTCCCCCCAACGCAGATCCCACCACGGCTAGCAGTACAATTGCCAAGAGCTTCATGTTTCCTGAAAACATTTTCCAATTAGTTTGTCTAAATAAGTATGTAGGCAAGCTGGAGGACCGTCTGCAAACGAATGGTGTAATACACACTCAACACCGTACTTTTATACCTGTCATTACACTGCTGGAAAGTGTGATCATGCAAATTTAATCCCTACGCGTACGTATGTACTTCCCTAAAGATTACTTGCAGTTGGTTAAATATACATGGCACAATTAAACTGATGTTTAGGTACTTGATAAGAATTAAATTGCGATTCAACTCACAAATATTTAATCTAAACAAGTATGTAATGCAGTACACACACATGCAGTGTGTAAATGATTATTTCTGACGTTTCAATTAATTCAAGTGCCACAACAGCATTCCGCAGTATGCTGGATTGGAATATTCCTCGATTGATGGATGAGTTTATAAAAAAATAATCAAATTTGCACACGGCTTTGCACCAATAAGGCAGTGTGAACCAAGTGTTGAAATACTTATCAGTCCGACACGACGTGCCAAGCAAGTGCCAAATGACAACTTGGTACAAGATTGATAATGCCAGATCATGACGCCATTTGAGTTTTGTAAACATTGCACCGTGTGCAAATTCACTGAGTGCAAGTTATAATTATAAACTAAACTTAAAAAATTGCTTAGGTGAGACTAGAATTGCGATTAAGATTTGTAACTAAACCGTCGCCTCCACTATCAGAGAAAGTGTTCGTATTCCTAACATCACCGCCTTGGGAATAATTCATTGGGTTTCGTAATTATACAAATTTGAATCTAATAGTATGTATGAAGAAAATGTTTTACTAAATTTTTTGGTTATGATTACCTAATGGTTAGAAAATAACGGGAATATTAAGCAAGCTGAGAAATTTTACAAATTTGATTGTTTGTATGTTTAGTCATCTAACTATTTATTTATATTTATAACTTATTTAGGATTTGCACTAAGAAATTAATCCCAGGGCTGCGACGCCAGGAATTCGAATACTTACTCTGATTGTTGGGGAGGTGATTTATTTTCATATTTAAACACTCAACCCCACAGCAATGCTGCCTGGTTTCATACTACCGAGGGAGCGTTGTTATTTCTCATCCATTGTTGGTCATGTAAAGTTTTTAGTGAAGCTAAAAATATCTATTTTTCGAACAGAATTTTCAATTAAACCCCCAATTTTTGACTAATCAAGCATAAATCAAATTCAATGAGGTTTTTTAAAACATAGCACAGGAACGGAGAGGATTCCTTGTGTGCGAATGCCGATTCGGATTCAGCATTCTCATAATTGAGTCTGGACACGTATTTAATAAAAATCTGTCAAGCAACGGCAAAGTGGTGGAACCGTAGCTGAATGGTTCCTTTTTTCGTAACCAAAGCTCCACCTAAGAAACATCGGAATAAACTTTCAACATGATGAATGACAGAAGAATAATAAATTTTACAGATATGCATAACAACCACTTAAAACAACCTGGTATAAATACTGCATCATACGTACCATAAATTTCGTACTATATCATAAATAAATAGAAAAAAACGTCGTGACTAAATACTACAAAAATGAAGCTTGTTGCAATTGCTGTCGTTCTTGCCTTTGGCTTTGTGGAACCCCATGGCTACCTCATGGAACCCTTGGCCAGGACCTCCATACATTTGGACCCCAATCAACCATACAACCCACCTTATTGGTATGACAACAAGTAAGTAAACTAGTGACAAATTATGCTATTTAAAATAAATTGCATTAGTCGCAATGATTTTTCGCTGAATTTGAATTACTGAGTCAGAACTGTACTCACTATATTTTTGGTTAATTAATAAATTTATCTCTCAGAGGAGTCTGGTGCAATAATGTTCATCAAGATCTCCAATATAGTCAGTGTGGAAGGTGAGTAGGAGCTTATCGAACATTCGTTCTAAAATAAGAAACTTCCGGTTATGAAGTTCTATAATCTGTTGAAAATATTGGTATAACAAAAATTAGCGTGGAGAGGCCGCTGGTAACTACGACGCTTCCCAAGGTGGTATTTACGACAAAGGGGTTCTTACCGGCAATTACACTTCGGGATCTGTAAGCAGTAACTTCAATTTATAGTAGATAGCTAGCGAAAGCCGGTTAAAAATTAAGCTTAGCAAATTCAACTAATACCATACGATCATAAGTTCACCGAACATATTTTTCTAGATAATTGAAATCAAAGCAGGCCTTGACAACGCCCATTTTGGTAAGAACATTATGTTATAACGCTATTAAAAGTAAAGTTTCTCAAAATTAGCCTGCCTTCTGTTTTATATATTTGAACCCGAAACTTTCGCCTGATTGGTACAAAATGACTTCGAAATAGTGTACTTAAAATTTAGCTTAAATTGGGCGACGCGTTCGCATGTTACCCGTGCCTTTGTCATTCCACAAAATCAGTGAACACCTTATGTATGCAAATACGTAAATGCAAGGTGCCTGGACTAATGTTTAGCAATCATTTTTTCTTGTGTTTAGGTCACTTTCAAATGGAGCTTTGCGCCCAGGAGCAAGAGACCAACAACTGCTTCAACCTCCTTCCAGTCGTCTCGGCCTCGCAGCCGTTGAGAGGAGAATACCAAGTCTGCATCCCGTTCGACAACCCTGCACCACCTAATGACATTGTCACCGTCCGCCTCCAGCTCCCAGCCGGAGTTAGGTGCAGTAGGTGTACCCTCCGGTGGACCTACAGGTTTGAACACCCTTAAATAAATCCGAAAATAACATAAAAAATTATTATCATAAGGGTCAAAAATGTTAGACTGCAGTATTAATTAGCGTGAACTGTATATATGCATGAGTCAATTTAGACCTAAATTGATCCATGTTGCGGACACATAAATTTTTTAATTTTAAAAATACTAATCACATAATTTTTTCAGGACCTCGTATCCTAATGGAGCACCAGGTAATTCATGAAATTACTTATACAACAAATCATTAGAAAGAATGAAAGATTATCATTCTAACTGATGTACTTCCCATCAATTTACAAAAAAATCATAAATTGTATGTTTTTAAGTGTGAGTTTATTTTTGTATAATTGTCCGTATTTCCCCAGACTGGAACAATTGCTATACTGCAGCTCCAGCCCAAACCTTCCGGAACTGTGCGGACATCAGCATCAATTAAAAACAGAATATAAAAATGAACACAAATTATTGTATCCCCAGTACAATCTGTACACAATGTGTAAACAATTTTATCAATATTCAAATAAAAAGCAAGATAAATAACTGCAGATATTTAATTACTTGGATTTTGTAAACCACCTTTCATTTGATTGGATAGAGTATGAAATAATCACAAATTTAAAGTTAGTCGAGCATTGTAGTGCATAGACTATATTACTCTACGCTTCGCCGAGCAGCGGCGTGAGTTGGGAAGGTTGGGAAGCTGAAACCTGGCCCCCGCGAAGCGGTGGCCCGCAAAGCATGAGGTAAAACTAGAGGTGAGCTGGATATCCATTTTTTTGGATAATACATGGCCCGATCCAATCCAAATGGATTTGGATGGATTGGATCTAAAAATTTTTGGGCCAAATGGATTTGGATGGATTGGATCTGAAAAATTTTGGGTGAATTGGATTTGGATGGATTGGATCTGAAAAATTTTGGGTGAATTGGATTTGGATGGATTGGATCTGAAATTTTTTGGGTGAAATGGATTTGGATGAATAGGATCTGGGTGGATTGGATTTGGTCGAATTGGATAAATTTCGTCACCATAAAAAATATCAGGAAGTGTTCTTTTTAACACTCCGATCTCATCCTGACAGTAACTGGGCCATACTTTTGTTGCATGGCACACACTGTGACATATATATTGTCCAATCAGATTTATCCCGAACACTAACCATGAGTTTATATATATAATTCTTTGGATAATCCATGCCCTGATCCGATCCAACTGGATTTGGATGGATTGGATCTGAAATTTTTTGGGCCAATTGGATTTGGATGGATTGGATCTGAATTTTTTTGGGCCAAATGGATTTGGATGGATTGGATCTGAATTTTTTTGGGCCAAATGGATTTGGATGGATTGGATCTGAAATTTTTTGGGCCAAATGGATTTGGATGGATTGGATCTGAATTTTTTTGGGCCAAATGGATTTGGATGGATTGGATCTGAAATTTTTTGGGCCAAATGGATTTGGACGGATTGGATCTCAAAAAATGACGATCCAGCTCACCTCTAGGTAAAACGGGACTTTGGTCATACATAGTTATTGATGAAGTTACTCAAAATTTAATCGATAAGTATTTTTGGACTCCCAGATATATTTCGGATGCATTCGTACAAATGCTATAACAACGAAGGAAAAAAAGTTGTAAATTCGTAATTTTAGGGTAACCTCGCCTTAAACTCGTTTACAACTGATTCACAGTCTAAAATAAAAAGTCATAATTTTTCTGTTATCTAAAACTTATACCACTTCTTCCCAGATTTATCTGGGAGACCAAAAATTCTTAATAATTAAATTTTGAACAAGTTGGGAAATATTCATAATGCATTTAGGGCCAACTTTTCAACTCACCAACAAAACTAGTCCTACCTAGTATGGCCAATTGTTATGACCAACACACAAATTAAGGTAGCGAACTCAGTTTATGGAACTTTGAAAAACTAACGATATCACGAGAAAGCTCATTAAATTCCATTCAAAATATATCAACCAGTTTTCAAAATTTCCTTCTCTTGAAGCAGAACCATCCCGAAGTCTTTATATCTTCATTTCGCTCGCGGTACGCACTCATTCCAAGGGATATTGGTCTAATTTCTAGGCGATAGATTTTTTGTAGGATACCAAACTTGCTTTAGGTTTAACACATGTATCTAGCTTCTGTTTGGACCATATATCGTATTCCAGAAGGTAGAGGTTCGGTGACAGTGAATTTTATTCTTGGTCCGAAATGGAGTCATAAATTTTGGAATTCTACCCCCACTTTACTATTTTGGCCTTATGACGAGGATCTGAGCCCTACTCGAATATCTAGTAGCTATTTTTGAATGGGGTGTGGTCCAGTGGCTTTCCATTTCGCTCGATGACTTCACAAAATATTTTTTGACAAAACATTTCACCCCCAGAGGAAGAAAAATCACGTTTTCGAGCAAATCCAATCTATGCCGAGTAAAAAAATCACAGAATCTGGATGGTGGATCCGATTACTATTTTTGAAATTTTTATGAATAATATGGACTGGTGAGGTGTCGACAAAGTGCTTTTGCTAATTTAATATGGCCTCAATTGTGAAAGTTTACTTATCTTTTAAAAATACTTATTTCGATTTTTAAAGCGCGTACCGCATGATCAGTGCCCGGCTTTTGAGGGTTCTATTTTTGCTTGGCGTGAACTTAACAGGTGTTTCTCTTCATATCTTAAAGACATGAGTCCAAGGTCGAGTTCAGGAGCCTGGGACGTAGTTTTACTTGGCCGGTTCATTTGTAGGGAAATTTTTTCTTTGGGTCCGGCATGAATTCCGCCGAATTCGGGTTTTGCGCGACTTCGTGATTATTTGTGACCTCTTTAACCGTTCCCTTCAACCCGTTTGTCGGTTGTAAAGACCTAGTGGATCATTTTATGGTGCGGTCGACCATCTTGCGATTATTTCCGATTTTTAATGAACTATTGAAAAATGCCGGATTTTTATGTTTACCAAAATGTTTATGTAAAATTGCAACACATCGGTTTGGTCGACCTGTCATTTTGGAACCTTGGGTCACAAAAGCTTTCGAAGCATGGTTTCTGATAGAGAATTGCATGAGGATTTCAATAAACAATAGCACAATTGTCTAGCATAGCTCCTACTAATTTTTTTGGCGCGCGGAAGGCGTTGGTCATTTCAATTGGCCCTACTAGGTACAGTCAAACACATTCACACACATTCTAACTAATTCTAAGTAAAATTGCATACTAATGATAAATTAGAACAAGAAGAACAGGTTGTCTATTGAGTGGAATTCATGTAGTGTGTGAGGTCAATTTAGTATGAGGTCAATATGGTCAGGGGTCAATCTGTCGCGGGGTCAATATGGTCAGGGGTCAATCTGTCGCGGGGCCAATATGGTCAGGGGTCAATCTGTCGCGGGGTCAATATGGTCAGGGGTCAATCTGTCGCGGGGTCAATATGGTCAGGCGTCGATCTGTCGCGTGGTCAATATGGTCAGGGGTCAATCTGTCGCGGGGTCAATATGGTTAGGGGTCAATATGGTCAGGGGTCAATCTGTCGCGGGGTCAATATGGTTAGGGGTCAATATGGTCAGGGGTCAATATGACCGGGGAAATCTGTCGCGGGTCAATCTGACGGGGTCAATTTGATGCCCTACCGGAAAACCCCGGGGTTTTGCTATTGAAAACCCATGCCCCGGGGTTTTACCTGGATTTTGCGGGTAGTCGAGGTAGTCGGGGTTTTGGGGGCAAACTGAGTCAGTGTCACATGTATTAAGTTCAGAGATTAATGAAAAAATAAGGTTTTCAGTAATTTCGCAACAAAACTTATTTTTAATTATATTTTAATAAGGAATTAATTTGTTGAATTGCTACTAATACCCTGTTATCATATTTTGTAAAATTTGAAAACCCCGACTACCCCGACTACCCGTGGGTATTTCTCAAATTTGCTACCCCAAAACCCACCAAAACACGCAATATCCCAATACCCCCAAAACCCGGGGTAGCATACCCTGACGTCAGGCAATGCTTATGTAGGCAAAAGCAATTTACCTAAGCAAAATTATTTTGTATTGAATGTTTAGGCGAAATTCTAAAATTCCACTGCTATTATGGACGGAATATCAATTTAATGGAGAATTAAGAATTATTTTATTTAACGATTTATTTGATGAATGAATGTCATTTCTGATGGTGGGGAGCGAATAGCATTTAATTTATTACTGAGAATTAAATAATTGAATATAGTTTGGAATATAGAGAAATACCCGTACAAAGCCTCGATGTAGGTCAAATGGGCTTTTTTTGGGTCGGATACTCGAAAACAAGTATTTTTTTGTGAATACCCTATTTTTTAGACGGACTTTGGAAAGTGTTAAATCGAGTGACTCAACTTCTAGAGGCTGTGGGGAAGCCATTTTTGAAAGTTGAGAGTTGAATTTTTGCACACACCTTTCTGAAGATAATGTGCTCGTCTGTTCGAAAGTTTAACCCGCTTTATTTACCCCCTGTTGCGTTTACGGTGTATGCAGTAAAATCTAATTAGCATTTCAATAGCCTGTTTTATTATGAAAAGGAACAAATATTGTCGATGGTGACATTCATTTTACTTTTGAGAATGTTATTAATTTTTTGAATAAATGATATCACTAGCAATGCTTTGTACAGAAATTCCTTTTACACATGTATTAAGACATCCGTTCTTTGACATCACATATGCTCCCAGCTTTGGTCTCACCACTCAATCTCCTTCTTTCGAAACACTTGCACAAGTTAGAATATCCACAGCCGAGCTTACGTTTATCAAGAGTGTCACAACTTCAGCCATCCCCATGCTCTTTGACCGCATGACACGATCAGCGAACTTTAATTAGAGGGGTGAGGAGAGAGAATGTTCTTGGCATAAATCCGTCGACGGCTCTAACTCAGCAGCGAATCCCTATTAAGGCACTTCTTACGATAGTTTGAGAAACGTGCTCTCACCAGATGGTTAAAGCTGTCTGGACACGATCTCTAGCAAATAAATAACAGCAAAAGCGATAATCGTAATTCCCATCGTATTGAAGAAAGGTGACAGTGTGTTTATAGATATGTATGGAGATGCCTCTTTCAATGATTGCCACCTGCTCGATTTTAACTTGTGGAAATGTTTTAATTGTCGTTCCCACAAAGTGGGATATCCTCCCCGAGCAAGGGCTTCAATGGTCTGCCCGATCTCAAATCTTAACTTGTTATTTACAATAGCAAGTCTTCCTTCGTTCAAGGCAATATCATAAATGGCAAAGCATTTATACTCTCCTTTCAAGACTTGATTTTCCAATTGCACCAATAATACCAAAACACGGAGCTTGTTTCCAACTAAGGCGACGTTCCTGGGGCTATGCTTCCTGATGTAGGCGGATTCATTCTTCCAGTTGGGACTTAAAATATAAAAAATAAGTGTTTTCATATTTTGCAAAAGGATTAAGAATCGCTGGTAATGGTATACATATATGTTCGGAAAGACTATCCAGTGAGAACCTACCCAGTGATAAGATTACTAACCTAGATAAACTATCAATTTTTACGCAGGTGGCTTT